ATGTTTGTACTAAAACAGAACTCACCTTGTCAGGAGTCAAACAGGGGAGCCATTGTGTGAAATGAGGTCATACAAGAATGGTCACATTTCTTCACAACTCAAGAAAAACACAAACACACAAAAGGCCCATTTACACCTGTAGAGCCAGCATAAGTTTTAAACTCCGTAACCCTGTAGCTTTATTGCTCACCTTACGCTTCTTCTTTATCATTTTAGCGTATCATTTCCCTTTGGCACTGCATAATTTTCTCATGATTTCTAAAGTTTCACTGCTTGAATCACCCTGAGGTTACTTTACAACATTACTCAACAATGAAGGTTTCAGGTATTCCTCTAAGGAAGTAATAAATACAGTGAGCTGGCTTTTATACTTTGACTCATCGTGCCATGGGTGAAATAACCTACACAAGAAAGTAGTATCACCTTTGCTGCTGTGTGCCAGCAGCAGAACAGGAATTGGACTATATTGAACTATATTGCACCTAAACCAGTCACCTTTCACTTTCCTTCTTGTAAAGGTTAATTCAAATCCATTACATCATACTTAGCACTGCCACGGTTTTCGGATCACAGTCAGTGACTGAAGGATTGGGAAAGCAGCTCAGACCGCCCTCTGCAGGAGGAGAAATCTTTAGAGCAAACCAGTCACCTCAGTGTAGCCCTATCACAGCTAACATTTCACCATTTGTGACATTTGTGTTTGTCTCCTTTAACTGATTAACTTTAACCACACCACCACTTTAACCGCATCTTTACACTCACTGCACTGTTACTGTACTTTATGTCCTGGTATTATTGCTCTATTCATATTTGCACAGTTACAACTTATCTTTTTACATATTCAGTCAAACTATAGAAAGAGGCTGTATTATGTCATTACATGCTGTTATATAAAACTTCATTATTTTCCGAATGACCATTACCGGTCTTGTTTTTTCAGCCATCTGCATGCATTGCCCGTCACTGAGATTTTGGGATGCCCAACTCATGAATCAGTTCTGGAACCAGGCCAGTGTAGAGCATTTCAGAACTGTTTGCCAGACATGGATTACGCCTGGACTTAGGCTAAATTGCAATTGTAATGTTGTTTCAGCTTAACAGACATTTTATGAAGGCTTAAGTTTAACTAACGTGTGGGAATCCAGCAGACAGTGTTACACATCCTTGGCTAATCCTAGCAGGAAATACACACACAGGATGTGGAGCAAACTACTAGTGTCAGTTGGTTTATGAGCACATTAGAAATTAGTCTGATTCCATTAATCTTAGTTTATCTTGAAAAAACAAAACAAACATTATTGTCACCAGGACAACACTGTAAGAAAGAGCAAGTCCATGCAGGGCTCGACTGTCATTAATGCATTTTGGTGAATGGGAGGCCTTAACTCACAGTACTCTTGTTCAAATGTGTCGACCTACACATTTTACCTGTATAAAATACAGTTTGTCTCATTTTTGCAAAATTTATTTATGTTGTGCTTTTTACAACAGGTGTTGTCACAAAGCAGCCTTACAGAAAAATCCAGGTCCGAGCCCCCATGAGCGTCGGCAATGGCGAAAAACTCCCTAAGAGTAAGACGAAGAAACCTTGAGAGGAACCAAAGCTCAAAAGGGGAACCCATCCTCCTCTGGTCAACACCGGATAGCAAACAGCATTAGTATAAAATATTAAAATGCATATGAAAAATTATATGGATATGGAGTATTCCAATTTATTACTGTGTCCTTATCTTGTCAGGTAACTTCAATAATTCTTTTGGGCTCAGATTTTATTCCCCCCTTTTTTGCCCGACTGGATAGCCTAAAAAGTAATGTTATCAAAGTTTGGGTGCAACTTGCTTTAGCAAAGACACCTTTGGCCTCAATTTCACCTCGTCAGCAACTTTTCTTTTGTCAGCTCATCACAAAACACTGTCTGCTTTCATTATGTCTGCGTGTTTATTTCCCAGATGGCAAGAGGATAGTTGTCCACTGTTGGTAAAGCTGACAGCCCACGGGCTTTTTGCTCAGCATTTTCCAGGCAGCCCACTGGTGGTTGAGCAGAACGTTACACAAAATGGCAAAGTCATTTTCCACTCACAGTATAATTTACTTGTTATTGCTTAATTTTTTATCTTTTGTTAATTAGTTTAGTAAATCATTTTAACAACAGTATCATAAATAAAGCCAGTTACACAGCTGTAACCAATCTAGCACAGCGTTCATCAAAATCATTTTATATGAGGCCTAATCATATTTTTTTCTTTTGATTGTTTGTAACATTTGTCTTAGTTTATTTTCCAAAAATAAAAGGCTGTGTGTATTCGAATCTGTTTGAGGAGATTAAAAAGCAGTTAGACAGTAATCTGGGTGGTGCGAGGGTGGACTAGCAGTGGCAAACAGTCAGCGGGGTGCTGACCTTACCAAGCCAGCGGACTGATGTATGCTTACTTTCTGGGTAACTGTGTAAGAGAGACTGTTTAGCTGTTTTACAGTCAAATAAAGTAAAAATAATTGTCTGACTCTGTATGAAGGAATGAGTATGATAGCCACAGTTCATCTAGAAAGGGTGGAGTCCTTCTAGCTTAATGAGTTTATGGTCACTGCTTTAAAACAGCAATGACTCTATAACAGCAATGATAAATTCCATTGATGTGCACCAGTTACAGTGTAAAGGCCTCTACCAGCTCCACTCAGGAAACTGGAACTGCATAGCTTTGTGTTTTCCTGCACCTGTCATTAGCTTTGCTATTTAGCTGTTAGCTGATGATTAAGTCCTTCTGGAGCTAAATCTGGACTCCAAAACTGGTCCTCGGAAAGACTGGACTATAATATATTTAAAGCAGTAGTTATTAGCCCTCTGCCTCCGTCTACCTGCAAGTTTCACCTCCAACCCAAATCACCCCATCCAGCTTATCTAGCACATCTGAAGACCATGAATAGCTGGCTAAATGGTCCCATATTTGTGGTTTTTGTTAAATGCCTGCATGTTACAACTGGAACAAAGGCATAATTTTCAACAGGAGATTGGAAATAAGAAGTAATGGAAGCCCCACAGATTAGCATCATGCTAACAGCATGCCTACATCACCACACAGAGTTGTTAAGTTGTCCTAGACTAGCTGGTTGTTTCTGAAACTGTGTGAAATGCTGTTATCCATAAAATAGACCAGTGTGGATGCATTCAAGCTTTCAAATAGCTGCTGTTTCATGTCATTTTGTCTATTTTTATTCATATAGCATGATGCTATCTGGTGGCTATAAACTTCCATTACTTGGGATTAGCTACAGCTTTAACTCTCAAAAGCTAAGAAGTTTTTCAGAGACTTCAGAAAACAACCCTTTTTGGCTGACCAATCAACAGACTTGAGTTGTGTAACTTCTTAAGCACTCAGGCTTATAGGGGAATTCCACCGATTTTTCAAATATTTTTGCATAATTCCATCGTTGCGATATGAACAAAGTCATTCAGAGTGGTTTGATGTGAAATGCTTTGTTGTAGAGAAAGTTACAGTCTCAGATTTCTTTACAGTGGTGGTGATAGGAACCAGGGGTCGCCAGAACTACAACACAAATATAGACATTTTATTTACTATCCCAAACCACCAGTGAACCTACACGAGTCTTCTGAGATTTTGAAGTGATGTTAAAGATGATAAAATAGTGGAAAACCTGAATACATACATTTTTGTGGGACTATTTTGCCTCAAAATGCTCTTCATGAATCCCTCCACCATGAAAGAATTCAAATAAATGGATTAAAAAGACATTTTAGGCCAAAACTTTATTACATAACTGTTGCAAAACAATGTCTCAGGCGTCAAGCTGCGTATTCATAACCATTTATGGTAAAACGCTCTTTGCCGGGAGCTTTTAGAGGTGGATGTCTGGTTTCTATCACCACCACTGTGAACAATCCTGATTCAGTATTTCTCCAGACCGGGGCGTTTCACACCAAATCATGGCTCTTTCACAGCTGTGTGTTCCGCAGGACTCTGCACTAGGACGTTTGTATACTTTGCTCACAGCACGTTGTTCATGTGCATCCGTTAAAGTCAACATCCCCTGAGTTGTAAATATCCTGTACTTTGTTTTTTACACTCATTGTTCATTTTATCATTTCCACTTACCACACAGGTGCAGCTCTGCAGTTACAAATAGAAGTCCATCTGTTTCTCTGCATCATTTGTTAGCCCACCAGTGATCATCAGTCATTTAATAATCAAAAAACTTGAAAAAGTTAGATTAATAAATCTGACAAGCACTGTGAGTTCATTTTTATTAATAAAGTACAGCAGTAGAACAAATATTTCTTGTTCTAAAATCTGATGCTGAGCCACGTTCAAATGATGGCACACATTATTATTATTATTATTATTATTATTATTATTATTATTATTGACCAATTTAGGTCCAGCAACTATTAAGTATTATGGGGGAAAATGCCACAGAACTTCTTATTGGTCTTTTATAAATTTTGTAGTTTGGATTAATTGGATTAATATAACAAAACCCATATTTTTTATTATATGTAATTTTCATAATTGTATTCACAATCAAATTTTCTGTTGTTTTGTTAAAACTCAGTAGTCCTAAGTGACCAACAGGCCAAATTTAACATGATAAATTAGGTGATTAACTCGTTTTTTGCACTGTTAAAGAGCCTCTGGTGACACAGTGATTATTTTTTAATAAAACATGGCCGCAAATTTATATATTCAGGCCAGAAAATAATATGTTGAGGCACAAAATAATATATAGAGGCCACAAATTAATATATTGAGACACAAATGAATATATTAAGTTAGGTTTCTCATGGCCTCAATATGTTATATTGTGGCCTTAGTATATAAATACATGCTGTCTTAAAAATAAAAAAAGCTCCGTAGCTCCGTAATGTGGCAATATGAAGGATTTTTACAGATTTGTGCTCGGACAACAGGCCGAGCTCAGAAAACACTGACCAAATTAGACTTCTTCATAGTGTGTTTGTGTTCCGATTCTCCTGAAGGCCAGTAGGGAGCGCTGGTGCGCCCGGTCACTGCGAGGCAGCAGGACCACGAAGAAGACACAATGAAAACAGTAGGTGTGTTTCATGTAAACAGGTTTTCAGTCTCTTATTTTAATTATCCTCAGAAATTATTGACTTCAGATGACATTAAACACGTTTAAACGGCTGTTTAAACCTCTGTAGCACAAACTGCACCCTTCATTTACTCGTTAGCTGAAGCAGCGCAGATATCTGTGTGTTGTTTGGTGTCTTGTTTTGACTGGTCTGTCTGATTTTTTAGAAAACGAAATAAAATCCAAACTGTTCGTGTTTTAAACCGCTACTCCAGCAAAGTTACTGATCTGAAATAACGAATCAAAAAGAAGTCGTTTGGCAAAAAAATACAGCTCGAGCAGAAATACAGATGCATCAGATCAAAACAGTGCTTAAAGGGGAATTCCACCGGTTTTTCAAAAATTCTGCATAGTGCATCCGTTGAGATGTCAAAAGATTTATTCAGAGTGGTTTGATGTGAAATGGTTCATTGTAGAGAAACTCACAGACTCAGATGTCTTTAAAGTGGTGGTGATAGGAACCAGGGGGTCAGCATGACTACAACACCAATATAGACATTTTATTTACTATCAAAACCAGCAGTGAACCTACACGAGTCTGAGTTTTATATGGGATGATGATGATGGTAAATTTGAGTAAATATGCAGTAAATCTGGAGTAAATTGGGTAAAGTAATGAGCACCAAAACCCCATCTTTACTGTGCATATATTTTAAAAATAACCTTCTCAAAACTATCGTAAAACAGTGTCTCAGGCAGCAGGCAGTGAATTCATAACCATTTCATGTATTAACTTTCTGTGAGGGAGCTTTTAGAGGCATTAAATTCTTCGGACGTCTGGGTTCTATCACCACCACTATGAACGCAACTGTTCTTAGTTTAGTTTTAGTTTTTATCTAGTACGGAGCATTTTACTCCAAACCACTCTGATGAATGACTTTTTTACCTTAATGAGTTAATTATGCATAAGTTTTAAGTAAAGAGTGCTGTGGAGCTTCTTAGTAGATCCAGCATCTATCAGCATAGAAACTGAATTTTGTTAGGCTCTGTGTAAACACTTTAATCAGATTATTACCGTAAATTACTTTTTGCCAGTAACTGGACTATTTTTCTGCATGTAAACATTAAAATTGCATTAAATTGTGCACAGAATGTCTAAAAGCAGATTTTTATTGTTACTTGATGCTTGGCTGTGTATCTGTGCATGTAAACTCATTGTCTCTTTGTGTAGTGGATATACTGTGGCTCCTTCTGGTCGCTGTGTTGTGGGGGGTCACCAACCCACTCCTGAAGAAAGGAACTGTGGGTATTGAGCATGTGAAGGAAGGGAGCAGAATCTCTCAGCTTCTGGCTGAAGTAAAATTCCTCTTTCTCAACATTAAGGTGAAGTTATTTCAAAATCAAGTGTAAGAGGGTCATGTTTATTCTCTCAGATCTAGAATACAGAAGATAAGGCAGATCTAGCCGAATAATGGATCTGAACCAGGCCTGCTATCCTTTTCACAGATCTCTTCAAATACAGAACATTAAATAAATGAAGACTTTTTTTTAATTCCACAAATACGTTGTTAATTAAACCCAACAGTTTTGCTTACAGTTTTATTGCATATGCTCAAAAGCAGAATTAGGTCATGTTATTTGGCGTGTGAACCAGGCCTGCGACAGTAAGTTTTAGCTGACAGTTAATTACCAATTAATACCTGCAAGAGCAATAACGGTTCATTCTGTGTAACCACAGTGGCCAAATTGTCTAATTAGCGATCAAAATTGTGCTGTTTGACTGAATGTCACATTTCTCAACCATTATCAAAGCATTATATGCTTCTCACTCACCAAAAACAGTCATATACAAAAGTTTGATTGGTCAAATTACATGGTTTATTGATTTTCTAAGTGAAAATAACTTTCTACAGGAAACAAATTTAAATATGGCATTTCCCTTCAAGTTTATTTGCTGAGTTTAACATATTGAAAAAAAAAAAACATAAAATATGTAAAGTGTGCCATAACTTTTGCAGTGGCCACATTTTAAGTTTTACATTTTTCCTCAATATGATAAATTTAGACTGTGCATTAAAATGTGTAAACTATGTTCTCTATAGAGGATGTGTTCACTTGTTTACACTTGGAAAATCAACAAAACCCTGTCATTTGACTGGGTGCTTATTTATGCCTTTCTCTTCACAGTATCTTTTACCGTTCCTGCTGAACCAGAGCGGCTCTGTGGTGTTCTATTTCACTCTCGCTACAACAGGTCAGTTAGACAATTGCATTAGCTAATGATTGGCCCATAGCAGGGAACTATATTGTGGTTCAATGATTAATCCATAGAGGGGAAAAACACTGCATGTCCGAAAGTATCCAGACCCTTCTGACAAGTGAATTCAGCTACTTTAAGGTGCACCAAAAGCATTCAGTTGTGCTCTACAGTCTCCACAGGAAAGCCTTGACCAGTAAAATTCACAGTAGTCTGGAGTAGCCTGTTTTGCTCCAAAAACAACAGGATCCTCTTCAGCTCAAGTCCTGGAGGGCTAATCTGATGATTTCCTTGCACAAACACACCTGGTTCACTCATTTGTTTAACCAGGAAAAGCACTAAACTCTGCTGGACACGAGCCCTGAATTGGTGTTGAAGAACCCTGGCCTAAGGTTACCATATCTAATGCCAAGAGTGGGCTAGAGGGGTATAAAGCCCCCCCAGTATTGGGTTGTGGAGCAGTAGAGCTGCGTCCTCTAGAGTGATGGAGTAAATCCAGAACTGACCATCCAGCATCAGTACCTGACCTCACTAGTGCTTAATCAAATCCTCACAGCAGTGTTCCAACATCTAGTGTAAAGCCTTCCCTTAAGAGTAGAGGCTGTTACTGCAGCACAAACTCACTTTTAGTACCCTTCATTTCAGAAGAAATGACCTACAAACTTTTGAACATATAGGTCGTATTGCTGTCCAGCTATATCAGTGATTGATCCATAAATCAGAACCGTTCTGTAGTTCAGGGGTTTCCTGAGAGGGGAACTATAACAATACAGTTCCCCTTTCAGGGGTTCCTGAGATGGGAACTGTATTGTTATAGAGGTGAAGAGGTGATGTGTGGAGATAACTGGTTAGGAGTTTTATGGCTTCTCAGTGGCTGATGACTGTTATGTTTGTTGTAGATTTGTCGCTGGCCGTGCCAACAGTGAACTCTCTCAGCTTCCTGTTTACATTGCTCACTGGAAAACTGCTTGGGGAGGATTTTGGAGGGAAGAGTAAGTCTGATTTCTGTATAATTACTAGGGATGCACAATTTCAGAATCCTATTGGTATCGGCATATATATATTATTTTTTATATATATATATATATATAATATATATATATATACATACATACATACATCATCTAAACCGCTTATCCTTGTGGGTCACGGTGGGGTGCTGGCGACAGCACTACCCACTGCGCCACCATGCCGCCCTCATATTTATGAACACTACACAAATAAATGTTATATTTCTAGAGTAGATTTAGTCCCAGTTTCTAGGTTTTACAAATGGTAACGCATCATCATCTGCAGGTATGTACATGGACACTATCAGATATAAGCCCTTTTTTTTTACACTATTTTAAAAAATGACCATTTAAAAAAATGCATTTCATGTGAACATTTTATGATGAATGGACTAATAAACAATCCAAAATAACTTGGAATAAAATCTCTTTACATTCACGTACAATAAAGTTAAGGAGGGTTTTGACGTGCATCATAAAATGACCATTTTTAACAACAGCGACACAGTCGTGTGCAAAAGTTTAAGCACCCCTGGTCTAATTACATGCTTTGTTGATTGTGAAAATGAGTGCCCTTTACAGGAAATTTTCAGTAAATTTTAGTGCACAATTTGTTTATTTGCTCAGTTTAACCAGTTATAAATTGACGTTATAAAGGACGAGATGGTCACTGGTGCAAATATGAAAGGAAAAGCTTGTACCGTTCAACATGGCATCTGTTTAAAATCCTGCCCTTTAATAAAAAGAGCTAATCAGCTTGCTGGCCACGCCGTGAGCAAGTAAAGTCCTCTTTCATTGTGGAGATCTGTGCAAGCGCAGTAGCTAGAACAACCGAAAAACATACTTTTTGTGCATTACTGAGCCAAACGTTACAAACTATTTATGAGGTTTTTGTCAGATTTTACCAGTATGTTTTTGAAATAATAAAAGTAATTTGACCCTCAGTCTTGAATATTCCATTCAAAGAGAGAGGAGTCTGATCTTGTGTGGCTGGAAATAACTGCCCAATAGCGTTGCAAAGATGGCTGCCACATGAACAGACTTTGATTTACCACACTGGAAAAAAATAAAACAAAATATAAAACATAAAATATAAAACATGCCAGGCCATATTTGATCTTTTTTTCACCCCCAGTATGTTAAATTCAGTAATTGTGCATTAAAATATGCAGAAATGCAAAACAATTTGACTGGGGCGCCTAAACTTTTGCATACAACTGTATAACTTTCTTACAATCTGCATAATATGCTCATTAATGATTATTCCCCTCTATGTGTCAGGAGCTGTGCTGGGGATGGTGCTCACTATGCTGGGGGTCACTCTGTGTGTGGTCAGTTCTGTGTCAGAAGCTGAGAGTGCAGGACTTCACAACACGTCGCATATCACAAACACCGGACACCAGACCGTCCCTCACTAACAATGGACACAGCTGCATCAAGGTGGACACTCTATGGAAAGTCTTTCCTTACCAATGGGGTTTCTGTGGGTAAAATAAATTAGGGCTGAACTTGTGGACAGGATACAGTATTGCAGTCACGCTGCTGCTTATTTATGTTTTAAAAACACACTGGCGAACCGTTAATGTGACATGGTTGAAGTCTGGCCCTGCATTACTCTGACTTTCCTTCATAATCTTGATTTGCTTGATGATGTGAATGCTCTGAATCATCCAAACACCCACAGCAGCTCGTCTGGGACGTGTTAAAAGCGGTCAGGATGCTCACAGCACGTTTAGTGAACCGTTTGAGGGCATGGCAAGTATTGTGGTAACAATTCACTAGGCAACGTAAACATGAATATTTTTCCTCCTTACTTTAACCCTACAAATGAAACAGGAAGACAAACGTGAAGGATTTGGCACACTTTGCCGACAGGCCTACTGAAGGAGTCTTTGTTCTAACAGAAAGTAACCATTCTGAATGCATGTCGCCTTATTTCAGTAGATAAAGTTCACTCTATCAGTTCCTCACAGATGGACCAGATGCAGTTGTTCATAAATTTTTACCATAAGGTGACAGTGAAGTCTCCCCCCGCCTCCCACATACACCAGCTGCTTTGTAATCTTTGTTAGTGTTTATGGTTATTGATCCTGAGCCAGTGCCTGCAAAAAAACCCCAATCAAGAGAGTAAAACCAAACCAGATGTTTCCTGGCACGTGGGCTTTGTTTATTGTGCACTGGCAAAGCAGCAGTTAACGGATCCCTGATAAGAAGGCTTTTATTGACTAAATCATTCTGCTCAACTCCTGCTGGCAGTTTTGGCTCAAGTTTCAAGTAATTGCTTTGCAAATGAATACATTTTGTATTCCCCTTAGAGCACAACGGCACCTGTTTAATATAATCCCATGTAAATGAGTGGTGTCGGCTTCGTGGCCAGAGGGATGTTCAGGAAATGTTAACTGTCAGGAACCCTAGACTGGTCGGCTGCAGTGAACAGAATTCTTTTTAATTATACCACTGACAGCTAAATAGCACTTTAAAATATTCTGTTTACACAATGTACAGGCAGTGGACATTTCTGACCAAACTCTTCTTGACCTACAAGTCCTACACGTTACAAGCCTCATTGCTCAAATCCGATTTTTTGCTCAAATCCGATCTCTCTGACAGGATGGTTCACACTCGTTTAGGTAAGTGACTCAGATCCGTCATTAATGTGATGAACCCGCATCCTGAAATGACCCTCATGAGCTCATCCTACTCAGTAACATCACGTGAATGAATTGCATGCCTCATCAGCACAAACTAACGAGCAGAACGAGCTTCGCTGAGAAGATAATTAACTCTGATCAGCTCTCAGCTTCATTATTAGAGCGAGACGAAGGAGAAAAAGGTGAGATGAGCTGCTTTTCCACCGTTTACAGGCTTTAACTTCTGTTCGGCGCTGCTGCCATGGTAACGCTGAATAATGGCGCACGCACAGTGGAGAAAAAGCACATGAAGTCCGTTCTGAGCGTCACATTAAGGTCGCATGGCCATGAATCGGATACGTATCCGATCTAGGACCACATATGAAAGTGACTCAGGTCGGATTTGAAAAGATCAGATTTGTGTCCACACAGCCCAGAAAACATCAAATCACATTAGGGCAAAAAATCAGATTTGTGTCACTTCAGCCTGGTAATGTGAACGTAGCCAAAGTGCACTGGATTATCGAACGGAACCCCGTTCGTTTTTTTTTTTTTCCTTTTTCATTTTCTTCTCCATTATGTTTGTTTTTTATTCATGTTTTTGCTGAAATGTCACTAATGATTTTATTGAGAGTCACATTTTAAAACAAGCTGTTTGGAGCTTGACGGTTTATTGCTAAAACAAAAATAGAACTATCATTGAATATTAGCATAAAATGAGAGAACATAACTTTTTACATGTCTGTCTATACGTTGAACTATACATGAACTATCAAGAAAAATCCATACAATCACATGTTCTCATTAAACTGTAGCTTCACATACAGACTACAGACTTCCACAGCCGTTCTACTGAAGGCTCATGTTAAAGCACATTCTGCAGTTTTACAATACATTGGATCCTAAACACATGCGACCCTGATCAAAACTTCACATAAGCAGGGTGGCTAAAGTCTAGCTGACCTTTTGTAATAAACTGACAAGAACCTATTAATACAAATCTTTGGGCACAAAGTCACTCCAGTTATATGATCATAATCAGTAAACTCATCCCCAACGAAAGACAGATGGGAGGGTCTAGCTGCAGGGGATGGACTGGGTGATGGACTGTGTTGTTCTGAGGATGGCTGGTCAGGGGTAGGGGCAGGGGTCGGGTTTGATGCTAAAAGGAATAGTTAGGTCAAATATGTTAGTGTTGCTAACAGTCAATGAAAGCAAATAGCCACCAGTCAGCATTACGTAAACAGCCTCATACGGAGCCCTGCTGGTGACATATATAAATGAAAATAATGCATGGCCACGCCTTATTAACTCATGGAAACAAGATCCTAATGCATGGCAATTACTTAGTAAGACATGGGAGCGAGATCCTGCCTTACTAAGTTGTGGCCACACATTAGGATCTCATTCCCATGCCTTACTAAGTCGTGGCCATGACTTAATTATCTTGTTCACATGCCTTACTAAGTCATGGCTGCGCATTAGGATCTCATTCCCATGCCTTACTAAGTCATGGCCACGACTTAATTATCTTGTTCCCATGCCTTACTAAGTCATGGCCATGACTTTATCTTGTTCCCATGCCTTACTAAGTCATGGCCATGACTTAATTATCTTGTTCCCATGCCTTACTAAGTCATGACCATGACTTTATCTTGTTCCCATGCCTTACTAAGTCATGGCCATGACTTAATCATCTTGTTCCCATGCCTTACTAAGTCATGGCCATGACTTAATTATCTTGTTCCCATGCCTTACTAAGTCGTGGCCTTGACTTAATTATCTTGTTCCCATGCCTTACTAAGTCATGGCTATGCATTATTTTTATTTATACAGGATGTCACTAGCGGGGCTGCGTAGCCTTGTGCTAAATCGTGCCTAGAAGAATCCATAGACCTCTGAAGTCATTCTGTACTCAATGTTGTGCCCATATTAGGACTTTCCAGGTCTAAGCAGATTTTATCTATGGAGATTAATTAAAATGAATTAGAACAAAAATCAATTACGTTTTTGAAAATGACCTCTGTCGCCCCCTGTGGTAAACAAAAATACTCCAAAGCCGATACAGTGTGTCCAGTTTACATTTTTCCCCTGAATTTCACTGGATCCTCTCAATAAAGAGACTGTTAGGGTGTGTAAATATGAATATTGCTACATTCATGCCATTAGCAAGCTAACACTCATATGTTCAAACTAATGTATGTCAAACTGCCCATTAGCCTACTCCCGCTAAAACATCTTACAGAGTAACTCCACCCTGAGACCTTTTTTTTTCATTAACAGCTGAAATGCTCTGCTCTGTAATAATAAAATATACCAGCCTTGCGTAAGATGTGAACATCTTTCCAAACTGTAAAAATATAATTTTTATCATGGTCAGTTCCGCCTCTGCAGCACCCCCTCTGGTTCAACTCTGCTATAGGCACGGATGCAGATCAGTCAAACGTTACCGCCCCCTGATGACGTCCTACTTGTGCCACACACACATTAATATGTAAGCACAGGACTGTGGAGTGAGGACAGAACCACACTCACATGCTGAGCTAAAGACCCCCAGCACCACCTCACAAGGCTGCGATCTGCCAGCTGTCTGTACCAACTGTAAATAGTTAGTCCGAGCTTAGCTTGTAATAAAGATGTTGGACCGATTAAGTGAGGAGTCTCCATAAAGCTGCCGGTGTTGCATCCGATTCTCGTTTCCCTTCATAACTCAGACCCTTGTGCGCGACTCACTGAACAGAAATCAACGGCAAGCAACACTGGAACGGTTCAAGAAAGGTTAATGGTAAATGGCCATTGTTACTGACTGCATCACCCTTCCGTCCGAACTTTTTTCCTGCTTGCCGTTGATTTCTGTTCAGTGAGTTTGTGCGACCGAGGGCTCAGTTTGTACACGGGAACGTGAATTTGAGGTGGAGCTGAATCGGATGTAACACCGGTAAGCGCCATGAACAGCTTGCAGAACGTGAGGATTTAGGGCCACTGCAGCAAATTCTGACTGACCGGTGATGCAGTCTGTGACCTTGATGTCAAACTGAATGAAACTTAGTGTTCAAAGAAATCCACTTCAGGGCATCTAAGAAGTCAGGACTCGGGTGATATTGAATATGGACCTGCTGAACAGATCATTAGGAGCTGGCTGTCCCAGTTTTAGGGAATGTTCTACCATTCGGCACCTCTGCTGCTCGGTGTTAATCATTTTCTGGCACTACATTAACTCTTTGGCGGCTTGAGTCAGGGGCTCAAGACGCACTGCCTGATCAGAAACATCTTCCCTCGGTGAAGATGGGGATGGTGGTGGAGAAAAATCGTCAACCTCGTAAGACTCTCAGTCACAAAAGTGCCATTTGATTCTGTCGCTCTCCATATTTTGTGGTAGCTAATGTTAACTATAAAAACAAAGCAGCCCAGCCCACCCAGTTTCCCTCTCAGCCCCACTTCCAAACCTGTAGATCACTGCAGTGCCCCTCCCAGCGTGCCCCTCCCTTTTTTGAGCATTTTTTAAAGGTGAGCCAGGGTGGAGTCAGCTGAAAGTAGGGGGGTGTAGTTACTCTATAACCACCACATTCCATGAAGCGTGCTGGGTATTGTGGGGTATTTTGGTAAGATCAGTCTTATGATATCAATTCAGTGTGCAGCACCGTTAGCTTGCATGAACGTTAACGATCACGTTCGGAGGACCCAGAGCCATGTGGAGGAAAACATTTCGTAAGGTAGAACATACTGGGGTTGGGACATTTTTGTCTACAACAGGACATCATAGCAGTGACTTTGGAAAACGGCATTCGTTTTTGGGACAGAGAAACAAGCTTAGACCCAGATCATGATACCTACTACAGAATGACACACGACTTCAGAGGTCTATTTATTGTTGGCCATTTTTGGTCAAGCTAAAAGGCTATGGTAGGTGTACAGTATGACTGCTTAACCCTTAGAAGTCATTATTGTCTTTTTTTGCTATAGTATTTAAATAATCAAATTATGAAGTGTTTTATATTAGGTATTTTAATGAACAATTATGTTATTAAAATATATATATAAGACCGTACATTTGCAGTCGATTTACATCGTGTATCGACAAGTTTGAACCTGCACTTTTGACAGAATTTCTCTGCTTCATTCAATGAGCAATGAGTAAGAAAATTAATATAAAATTTGCTTTTTTTGCTGGCAATAACTTTGATTTCTAAGGGTTAAGGTTAGGAGTAGTGTGTGTTATATGTATGATGGTTCAGATTAGGGACATACTGCACATCAAAAGTTTGGGGACACCCAAGCATTGCTTTTCAATTAATTGAACAAAAGAGCATATTATCATAGCTGTTTTGTACTATTCACAATTAACTAGGCTCATTCTGAGAAAAATAATATCACACATGACGACAACTCTCTACAGTGCATTCACTCCTACAGCTGCTGTCAGTTTTTCCAAATGGTCCTGCAGAGTTCTAGAGATTTGTGGAGCTGATTGAACACCGCCCTGAGCAGCCAGTTGTTTCCATACTTAACAAGCCCCTGTCAACTCACCATTTCCCCTTCGGGGTATTTCCCAAGCAGTACTAAGGGCCCTTTTATTACTGTATTAGCAAAAGTGAAGTTAGTGAGATAAGCATTCTGAGGGGAAAGAGACGGAGTCAACACAAGTGTCAACTTAAGCAGCAGAACTTCCTCAGAAAGTTTCCCTTTTCAAACCCCAAACGTGCAGGACAAACAATTTTTAAGCCACAGCAGAAAAAAAACTTTAAAATGCTTAATTTTTCAAAGCGATGACATTCGATTTGCTATATTCGGAATGGGTTTGAGGAAGCAAACTGCTCCAGCTGTTATACATGACTGCTGATACAACTTCATTACTCTGCTAGCTTGCTACACCGCTAGCAACAACAAAAAATAAAGGTAATACAACACCGTCCAAAAGCAAAGCTTACAGCCAGACAAAGCAGTTAGTCACAGAATTTATTCACAGAATGTAACATTCTGCATTATGAAGTTTGAGTGACTGTCTATATAACTCTCTGAAAATAACCCAACTGAGGGCGAGCGTATTTCGACTGAGTGACCCCTCGCTGCCCCCTCCTCCTCTTGTATTGTGAGTGGCCACTTGTATAACATAGTTGGTAAGGCCATGTTAGAGCAAGCTCAGGCAAAACCAGGCCAGAGCTCATAATTCATGGGAAAGTAGCAGTGAAAATCATGTACTCAGACCAGGTGTCCTCAAATTTTTGATGAATGGTGTAGATGTACTGATAGGTCATGTTAAAAGTGTGACTGGACATCAGCTAGACCCTCCCCTATACATAACCCTGTCGAGCAGGTCACTCTGTCTGTTCAGATGAGGACATCTGGGTTCCTTCAGCATGGTCAGCCACTGGACTGTGCTGTGCGGCCCTCACTGGATATGCATCATGGGAACCTCCATCCTGACAAACCCACACAAACAAACAAACAGAGAGCGTCAGCACAACACATACATATTCCCTGGCACAGCAAACCTCATTAAAAGGATATGAGAACTCAGTCATTTACAGTCATCTGATGAACTCAACATAAAGCACAGTGCTGACAGACCACAACTCATACTGGCGGGTGCTTGGGATTTCTGTGGGTGAGAGGGTGTAGCTTTGGTCTCAGTGGTGGGATTTGCTGACAGAATGGATTATGCTCACCATCAGACGACTTGCAACTCATTTAATCTCTTTCTGCTCAATAGTTTTTAATATTCTGAACAAGTTTCTTCATGCTGTAAATAGCATTTTGGCCAAACCGCTGATTTATCATCCAAAAAACTATATAGACTGATATGAAGCACCACTCAAAATGAAGCTGCACTGATTTTCTTAAATTTGTGCAAAACCAAATGGTAAACATGTAAAGTCATTCAGAGTGGTTTGGTGTGAAATAATCCATTTTAGAGCAGCTTACAGAGTCAGAATTGTTCACAGTGGTGGTGATAGGAACCAGACGTCTGAAGAGTTTAATGCCTCTAAAAGCTCCCTCACGGAAAGCTATCACATGAAATGGTTATAAATACGTTGCCTGATGCCTGAGACACTGTGATACAATAGTTTTAAAATGCGAGTGTAGTTTAAAATGTATTTTGTAACATCTAGTATTGGTGGAGAGGTACATGTTCAATGCTGTAAGAGCACCAAAAGAAAACATATTTTCAGAATTACCACCGCTAACGTCACATATTAAACCTTTTGCAGGTTCACTGGTGAATATAAAAAAAAATTCTGGAATTCCCTTTTGAGCCCCTCAAAATCTAATTGAGGGGTAATAGCACCCCTTTATGGAGGACCTTCAGGCTGCTAAAGGTCAGTGAGTTCCAAGCCAGACCCATGAGATGCTTTGTATTTAAAAAAACAACCCCCTCAATCCTCCTCTGGTTTTGAATGTCTCACTCATCAGAACAACTGAGTAATTCAAGTTTATCATGTTGGAACAACCTTAAGTGGAACAAAAACAGCACTTGCACCATTACGAAGACTCAAAACAAGTTTCTTCCTGTGACAGCTGAAAGTTCATCTTCCCACAGACCCTCACTTTAACTGCAGAAGACTAAGCACTCTAGTTTGTGGTGATGATGATGATAATGATAATGATAGACTGGAATTCTGGTTAACTTTGCCTGACCAAGAGCGTGGGCTGTTAATAGTGTTGAGTATACTCTGGTTCAAACCCATACGAGAAACAGTCTGGCATGTTCCTCTCTGTCTGCATTCCTCACCCATCTCAACTCAACATTTTGATCAGCTTGCCCCTGCTTGAACTCTTGAAACCAGTCCAAGAAGATATGCTCAAGTCTTGAACACATTTCCAGCGGGTGACGTATACAGAGAGTGACAGAAATGCAGTAACATTCCTTACTTTAAAAGGAAGTAAACAGAGCAAGACAAACAAGTACAACCCCATTTCCAAAGCGTCTGGGAACTGAGGAGACACTGCTGTAGTTCTGAAAGTGAAATGTTTTTCTATTTTAGCTAAACATAGGATTTCAGCTGCTCAATAGTTTGGGGTCTCCTCTGTTGTATTTTTCATTTCATAACCCTCCAAATGTTTTCAGTGGGTGACAGGTTTGGACTGCAGGTAGGTCAGTTTCTCATCTGGACTCTTTTAATACAGAGCCATGCTGTTGTAATACATGCAGAATGTAGTTTGACATTGTCTTGCTGAAATAATCAAGGCCTTCCCTGAAAAAGACGTCATCTGGAGGGCAGCAAATGTTGCCAAAACATGTATATATCGTTCAGCATTAATGGTGCCTTCACAGATGTGCACGTCACCCATGCCATGTGCACTAATGCACCCCTATACCATCATCAATACTGGATTTTGAACTGTGCACTGATAATAAGCTGTGTGGTCTTTACCCGGAGGACACAGTGTCCATGATTTCAAAAAAGAAATTAAAATGTTGATTTTTCGGATTACAAAACACTTCTCCACTTCACTTCAGTCCATTTTAAATGAGCTTGGGCCCAGAGAAGGTGGCAGCGTTTCTGGATCCTGTTTATATGGTTTCTTCTTTGCGTTTAAGAGTTTTAATTAGCATTTGTTGATGCAGTGATGAACTGTTTTCACAGACAGTGGTTTTCAGAAGTGTTTCTGAGCCCATGCAGTGATTTCCACTACAGAATCATGTCCATTTTTAATGGTCTGAGGTCTGAGGGCCCAAAGATCAGGGCCAGTAAATACTGGTTTTGGCCTTGTCCCTTGCATACAGAGATTTCTCCAGATTCTCTGAATCTTTTAATGTTATTATGTACCGTAGATGATGAAAAGCAAAAGTTCTTTGCTATTTTATGTTGAGAAACATTGCTCTTGAATTGTTGCACTATTTGATCGTGCAGTCTTTTACAGAGTGGTGAACCCCTCCTCATCTTTACTTCTGCAAAACTCAGCCTCTCTGAGATGCTCTTTTTATACCCAAGCATGTTACTGACCTGTTGCCAATTAACCACCAGGTGTTTTTTTAAGCATTACACAACTTTACCAGCCTTTTGTTGCCCCCGTCCCAACTTTTTTGGAATGAGTTGCTGGCATCAAATTCAAAATGGGCAAATATTTAAAAAAAAACAATAACATTTCTCAGTTTCAAAATTTGATATGTTGTCAATTGCACATCATTGCTCTTTGTTTTTAAAACAACAGCGTCCCGAAGCTTTTGGAAATGGGGTTGTAATTTAGGAGCATTTCTATTGCTCGATTCATGATGAAATTTTCACAGAATAGAAAGGTAAAAACAATACATACAAAAAAAATTTGTATATACACACATATATATATATATATATATATATATAATATATATATACATACATTTATACACACACATATGAAGATTTTAGGCCGGCGTGCTCATGTGTGGCTGTAAACACATCTAAATTACACTAATATCACGGCTGCTTTTTTTTTTTGCCCAAAAAAAAAGTTTCCCCGCTAGTAATTTCGGTACTGCTGTGATGTTCCATCTCATAAATACAATATTTCCAACTGGAAGGCAGTACACAGGCATGATTTCCAGTCTGACAAAGTAGTGCTGTAGTACTCGAGATTGGTCTCGAGACCATAACCTCGTCTTGGTCATGACATCATCGTTTGGTTTTGTGTCGGTCTCAGGGTAAGGTGGACTTACCCTGTAGTCAAGACCAGCCGAGTGTGATGCCTCTGTCTGAGTTGTTATTTAATATCAACAAAACGAGCAGGATAAAACAGTCCTTTCTCTGCATCAGGGGTTCCCAAACATTTGCCACTCGTAGCCCACGCACAACCCAGAGTTACCCAGAGATAGTTTTTTCTGACTCACCTGATGAGAAGCTGATTTGTCAGCTACTGAGTGCTGTGTGCAGAGAGGCTAAAGAGATGAAAGCCGACGAGTTCTGACTCAATTTGACAGGTTTAGATACATATTCGCTGTGTTTAGTCTCTGAGTGTAAACTGTTGGGTGTTAAAGCATCATTTGAGCAAACAGCACAGAGATGTAGTTACTCATTCCCAGTTCCCATACATGTGAAGCTCAGAGCTGCGGTTTCACTGCTGTATTTCCTTCGTTTCGGTTATGCCTGCACTAAAAATATAAACACAACCAGCTGTAATTTTGCTAGAACAATCAATGAGCTCCATAATGTTTTATTTTGCAAATAATCAACAATATTTGTCATATTTAAAGTTATGTTTGGTTGACCATTTGAATTCTAACAAAGCAAACTGCAGAACTATCACATCCAACTGGATAATTCCTCTACATCCAATTAATTATCTCCTTTTTTCTGCTCGATAGCTGAATATTTCATCTTTCTTTGCCTCTACATCTACTCTATAATACCATTCAGCCATGACCGGCAGGTATTTTCTTGGAACTGTGTTAATCACGGAAGTGGACGTGGCCGACAGGACTGGGCTGCGCTGGTTTATATAAGTTTATATTTAAGTTTCTGTGTAAAGTATTACTAAGTCTTTAGTTAAAGATAGTTTTAATCTGTCCTTTTACTACATTTGGTTGCACCACAAATCCTTAAGTCATGTCTTAACCAGTAACAACTAACGTGTCACTGTAACATGATAACATTCAGATGTTTGACGATAACATGTTCAAACCCGATCTATAAACCCGCTGCCATGGAAACGAGACAGCAGCTTGTGCTGACTTTTTTCACAGAAACCATACCCAGTATAGCAGAGATGATGTGTGCAGGCTGAACGGAACTTGTGGACACTGTCAGCTCATACCCAGCGACAAACGAATACATAGTTTTTTAAATGACAGTTTCTGGCCAACCAACACAACAGCAGCTTCAGTTTAGACATTTCAGTATGGAGTTAAATCAGTGTCACTGGAACCTGAACCTGAATTCATTATGCTGAACCTGAATTTGTGACGCTGAACCTGAATTCCTGATGCTTTTTCAGGTTGAGAAATTCAGGGAAACAAACAGCCATAAAACAATAAATACTAGTATCTGATGTGAGCTTATATAAGAGAAGGAAGAATAAGTGACTTCCAATTGGAAACGTTCCACTGGCTGCTCTTCTGCCACGGTCCTTCATCGGCATGTACTCGGTGACAAAGAAGCCACTCCCAGAGACGTTTGGTGATTGGCCAGATGCAAGTTTGATTACATCTACCCTTGTTTGCTCTTCCCTGAGTACGCTGGATGTTTCCCTGAATTTCCAGACCTGAATTTTACCACCTAAATTTCTCAACCTGAAAAAACATCAGGAATTCACGTTCAGCTTCATGAATTCAGGTTCAGGTTCTGGTGACACAGCAGCTGCCACGTCTCACTGAGCTGTGGATGTTTTTTCATGTTTGTAGTTTAAACCAGGTAAATTTTAACCTAGTTAACCAAAAGTCATATTTTTGGTCTTTTTTGTGCTTTCAGTTTGGTTTCTGTTGGTTTCCCCAACTCCAACATGAGCTCAGCATGAGGTATAAATATTTAGTAAGTACTAAGCTCAATGTTAAAACTATTTTGTATGGTAAAACGTGATTTGATTTAGTAATGCATAAACCTGAACTTATATTACATAAAACACTTACATTACAACTGGCCTACATTTTAAATTTGAGTACAGCTGGTGCAGCCGCCCCCTGGTCCCTTTAACTGCGGTGTTGTTCTACTCCAGACGCATTTTTATCAAACAATCCATATTATAATTCTGTCTATCAGTCAGCCTGATTATGGCTGCTGGGCAGTAAGAACACACCTGCACTATTTATTCATTTTGAAACTGGGGGGAGAGATAGGGGGCAGAAACTGGATCCAGTCGAAACTACGCCCATACAGGAGTTAACTCACTTTATCAGCTTGGCCTCTTCCTTCATGTTGTAAATCTTCAGTGAATTTCTTGTCGTTTTGTGTTTGTGTTGGAGAAAAGCTCGCTCTCTGTGACGTCTCTGTGTCGGGCGCCTGGTCCTCTCTGTCGCTAGGAGACGGGCTGGAGTGTCTCGATGATGCCATGGGCTCTTCAGGTGCTTGTGTCTGCTGGAGGGAGAAAAAAACGACAAAAATCATAACCTGGTCTTAACACTGGGAAATGCAGCGAGTTGTCCTGTACTGACAGGGCCATTTGGGGGCCCTAAGGGACAGCCTACTTGGGGACCCCTCTACCCAACCCCAAGCATAATCTTTGTTAATAGAAAAAGTGGCTCCTTGCATTACTTTCTCTAAACGATATTGAATACATTTTGAAAAGTACATATTCAGGGCCCCCTGGTGGCTCAGGTGGCCCTAAACATCTGTGTATATTGCTCACAGCAAGAAACGGCCCTGTAATACTGTTAATTTAAGTTTTAATAGAACCACCAAAAAAACATTGAAATGAAACATTGCACACTGTTTGCAGGCTGCTAAATGTAGTGGAAGGCTAGTGGAAAGCTGTCAAAGTTTGAAATTTTGTCATTTTCATTTTCATTTCAAATGTGAGTTTGATGTTTTTCAGTCTCTGGCTGATCATTTCAACCTCTGAGCTGGAATTCATTACATGAATCTCTGAAGCTTCACTGGTGTCACATCTTTTATTTCTTTATTTACTTAATTAATTATATTTTGTATTCATCCTTATTTTATCTTACATATTAAATTACTGTATTGTAATTTGAAAGTTTTTTTTTATTTACTACTATGATTATTAATAACTATTATTAAAAAGTTACTATTAAACTTCTCAATCCCTGATCTCTGTACTGGCTCTGCTACATTGTAAATGAGGGTCTCCTCAATGTACTCTGAGTTTAAATAAAGATTGATTGATTAATTGATATTATTTAATAACGAATAATTAAATATAATTTATATATGTGCAGATATGCAAATTATTGCTATTTTGTTATCTTTCACATACCTTATGACTTTTTTTTTCTTTTTACTACTGCTTCACCTTTATTTAGCCATTCCCTCAGTAAGTCATTCTAATCTATGGATGTTTAGAAATGTATACAGTAGAAAAGATCACACCTACCTCTAGGCTTCACAAACAGATCACCAACTAATTAACTACTTAGAAGAAGAGTAGCAATATTTTGGTTTCCCACCAAATGAAGGAGAACAGCTCATTAACAGCTACTAGCGCTGCTCTGTAGGCAACCCTACAAGTCTGCAGTGACAGCAGAGGAAGGTAAAGTTCAGCTCCTCACTGCTGGGCTTTAGTTACATTTAGGGAATCATATGCCTTCAAAGAGGGGGATGTGAAAATTAATCATTATCACCCACCCCTAATACTTTGATTATCGTAACTTGTTAACAGAGAAAATCCTCACATTTGTGGGTTTCTTTGGTCTCTTGTGCTCCATTTTGGCGTAAACTCTCTGTTTGGAGTCTCTGAAAAACCTCCGTTTGGAGGGTCATGTAGCCCCAACACTTCGCCCTACCCCTCTATCTCAACCAGAATTGGGACATCCTACCCCTAGACGTGAACGTGCAAAACGGAGGGCTAAGGGCTCAGTGGTAGGGGCGAGGAGTGAAATGGGATTGGACCTTAGACTCTGTAACACTCATACGTGATACTTCATGACTGAATTTGGTTCATGACGATATCGTTTTTGTGGTGATTCTGCAGATGATAATCGTTTGTCTAAATAGACGTTCATGCAGCTCATTTCAAAATGTTACAATGGTAATCAAGCATGTGATGTTAGTTGTAGCTAATTTTAGCATAACTGCTGATGGAGGTGCAGTTTAATGATGTGAATGTACCAAGCGGTAATTTCTCACTAGGCAGTGCACAGTGCCTGATGTACCCCCCCCCCGTCAATTTAGATGTTTTCCAAATGAAAATAATTCAACTCATCCTCTACAGGGCATCATCTATATAGCATTTTCTGCTAATTTTATTGCATGAATATCTATTTATTTGCTGAGTTTAACATATTGGGGAAAAATTAAACACCAAACGTGTTTTTTTTTATTTTGCACTGGCCACATTTTATGTTTTATGTCCAATGTGTTAAATTCAGCAAATAAAGAGTAATTGTGCACTAAAATGTGCAGAGGTCAGCATACGACTGTATACAATGTATGTAGTCCATAGAGTACAGTGTAAGTATATAGTGTATAAAAGATTTTAGTACACAGAACACATACATGCTCCTGATGGTGATTTGTTTCTGGTTGGCTCTTGTAAAATTCCTCATCCTCAACCACTTCAGCAGCTCTCTGAAAATAATAATATAAAACTATATTTAATATAAAAAAATATATAAATGCATCATTGCTGTCATAAGAAAACCATGTAAAACCTTGTATATTTGGCAAAGTAAACTTTTTCTTTTAAAGCTTTTTTTAAAGTAATATTACATTTTTAAGTTGTATTAACAAAAATGAAGCATGCTTTTTCCTTTTTCTATAGAGTTACTGTTTCAGAGATACAATGCAGTACAGCAGAACAGCTCAGTGACAGTGAGAGAGCAAGAAAATGATCATAGGCTCTGCAGGAGGCCACAGTTACAGGTCTGAGAGACAGAAAAGAGAACAAAGAGAGAGACAAAGAGAGGGAAAATGAAGGAGTACCTGGTCCACAGGGAGCTCTGTGGCTGTGCTCTCATCCTCTGCCACCTCCGCAGCTCCTCGCACTTCCTCTCTTCTCCTGCCTACACCCTTAAACACACTTGGCTGGCCTACACAGACACGCACACACACACACACACACACACACACACACAGACACACACAGGATTACATTCTCCCTGAATCTATGCACTATTGATCTGTAGTGATACGTTTACATTTTTTAAATGTGAAAAACATTTATTTTTGGTTACTGAAGTTAAGATTAGGGTTTGGTTTACAGCTTATTACATACAAGTACTTACATACATATAATACACTACTGTGCCAAATTCAAAGCTCACCCTCCATTTATTTAATTACCTGTAAAAACGGCCAAGTTATTCATTTTCTAGAGCAATTTTGAGAAGGTTAGACATAAGGTAATCAACTTGCATAAGCAAAGAGAAAGTCAAAGGAAAATATGTGACAAAATAGTTTCCAAAAAATGATTAAAAGCTACAGAGAAAATGTGCCTCCTAGCAACCACCTGGAAGACCTGGTAGACACCAACACTGCCCCTTCAGATAAACAGCACTTAAAGCTTTCATCTCTGAGAGAGAGGAGAAAATCAAGCTGCTTCAGATCTGAAAACATCCACAGGTGTTTCTGTCCATCCTTCCACTGTGAGAAGACGACTCAGCGCTGTGGGTCTGAAAGGATGTGTAGCTGTCAAGAAGAACCTCACTGAGAAAAGGAGACGGACACATCAAACAAAGAAGCTGAAAGATGGACTGACCACCCCAGAGTCCAGACCTCAACACCACTGAATGTGTTTGATTACTTCAGAAAATGATCAACCAGCTTCTGAGACTGAACTTTGGAGGTGTGTCTGCAGATTCCTTGAGGAACTGAAAGTGAGTCTCCTGAAAAGAGCGGAAGCTGGAATAAAGGTGAAGAGTGACTCACTGAATGATGTCATATTATATTTAGTTGTTGAGGCTTCTGTTTAATTTCCTGTTAATTATTTGCAAAATGCATAACTTGTATTTAATGGTTGTTTTGACTGGAAATCAACTGAAGTGTGATTTAACATATGTGACATATTACTACATAGGTATCAATATGTAAAACATTTGGAACATATTATTTTTACCTATACACTGTTACAAAAGATGGTTCTTCAAGGGTTGGCATCGTGAAAGCGTTCTTCAGATTGATGGAAAATGTGTATGAATGTGCCATAAATGGTTCTATATAGAACTTTTGTGAAAAGGCTCTATAAAGCACCCAAAAGGGTTCTTCTATTGTTACAAGCTTGACATCATAACAATAGACGAACCCTTTTGGGTGCTATATAGAACGCTTTTTAAAAAGGAAGAGCTCTTTCATGATATAAATAAGCCTTTAATCATGCAAAAGGTTCTTTAGTGTTCATGGTGCTTTATCAAACCATTTCCTTTACTAAAGAACCCTTAAAGAACTATTTTTTTTAAGAATGTAAGTACTTGCATATGTATATTACTTATGAGGCCCAACAATCCTCACGCAGTATAACAACAGATGTGTGTGTGCGCAGCAGCCTCTTCACTCCACGCTCTTACCTGCTGCTGCTCTGGCTGTAGGTCTGTGTGCAGGTCTGTGTTTGCGGACTCTGACGGGTTTGGCGTAGAACACTGAACTGTCCTCTCTCTCGCCCTCCCCTGCTCTCCTCCGGAGCGGCTGAGAGGGACTCCCCCCTGCCGCCTCGTCACCTGTCGACTTCACCCGCCGGTCGTCCCTCTGACACACAGCAGCACTTAGCCAAACACTGCAAAGGATCATTCTGGAACTTCCCATGACCTGAGCATTACTTGCTTTTGGCCGAATCAGAAATATTACAGTTAATTATGAGTATATTTTTCACAATTGTACAGTTTGAACCCTCACATAGATATTCATCTATCTATCGTGCATTCGTGCCTATATAGTTCAATCAATGTGAATTAAGCAGTTACTCTAGTGTTCTTCAACTCATTGACTGAAAACAACATAATGGAAGCCAATGGGAAGCTACTTCTGCCCACTGTCTTCAATTGTAAGCATGTTTTTAGTCAGCTGGTTTGTTTTCAGGACAGGGAAACGTCAAAATTATCATCTGTGGTATTTGACTACATAGACAAATATTAGATTAAAAAAGAGGATTCCTTCAACTCTTTATTTATTCATATGTGGCAATATCTACAAATAGAAACAATGAGTGCGTTTACATGTACTCAATAATCCGATCATGATTCTGCAGTTATCTGACTATTCAAGTGGTCATGTAAACAGCACACTCATGATTTTTTAGATCAGAGTACCATCTAAAAATCCGATTAAGAAATCTGATAAACAGAGACAGATTTTAGCTCAGTAACTGTATGTGAACTCTTACTCTGATTTCCTTCTGATTTCTCAGTCTGCACATGTGTGAAAATGGAACGCCGTACTGGAAATAAGCGAGCAGCGTCACAGTGAGACACAGCAAAACACTTTTGGAGTGATGCTGAAACCGACTACATGCTTGACACAATGAAGTATTTAAATATTCTTCATCTTCTAGATGATACTTGTTCATATTTTCAGGTAAAGTGGTTCAATGTTTTTTTTTTTTTCTTTCAAAGCTGCAGTCTGAAGTTTGAGTTTACGTCACATCTTCTTCTGTGAGTTTATTGGCTGGTTGCAAAGCAGAAATCTGATTATTGCTTCTTATTACTCAAGTGCATGTAAACACGTTGATCAGATTACTGATAAAATTCGATTTTCTGCAGTTATTGGATTATTGAGTGCAAGTAAACGCTCTCAATGTGTCTGGATGAGCATCATATCAGAAGCTGCAGGTAAAATCCAGTCCTGTAAATTATGTAACGTTACACGGCTGGACTGCTTGCGTCCACTGCCGCAAGGCAGACTGACTAATTTTGACTCAGGTGTTTTACCTCAGGTGAGTCGAGCAGTGCAGAGTCACTGTGGCTGTCCTGAGGAAAGGCCTTCCTGACCTAAGGCACATGAAAGAAACAAACAGCAAAGTCCATATTAGTTCTTTACTTAATACAAAAGACTGATAAAGTAGCAAAGATTTGGAAATCTTCATGTATTAATATTTATCAGACACTATTATTAGCTTTAAAAAGCAACACTGATTTAAATTCGCTTTTAGCAACAGCATTCTGCCAGCACTTGCTGCTGTTTTTATATCATTGTTTTTTATATTTTATACATATTTTTATTCCCTATTCTGTATTTTATTATGCTATTCAAACAGCCAAGCTCATGTTTATATATTTTATGGCCATTCTGTTTTATTGACATACACTGTGAAGCACTTTGAGTTGCATTTCTTGTCTGTAATGTGCTCAGTAGATACAGTTATGTTTGTGCTTATCGATGTGACTAACCTCTGATCTCCTGTGCAGCCCCCGATCTCCTGCATAATGTCTAGGAAAGTAACGTTTTGAGATAATAAAATAGTGAACAGCTCATTGTGTCTACAAAATACTACATTATTGCCTTCATCCTCCTCCTCTTCACCTGTCTGCACTGCCTCCTGGTCCTTTGTTCAGCAGCAGCTCTACATATGGAAGCTTCTTGAAACGCTCCGTTCCCACGGCAACATAACACTGCCCGCTCTCCAGCTCCTCCACTGACGTCACCGTGATGCCGTCCAGATTGCACAACCTGAGAGATCAGAAAGGTCACATAAAATTAGAAAGTGGCAACAGCTGGAAGATTTAGTGCAGCATTTGCCACTTTAGCCTGTAATCATTCATTAGACAGTCTATTTTTTGCTCTATCCCAGTATACATGCACCAGTACTTCTTACATAGTGGACATTTACAAATTCAGTAGATCAATTCAATGGGAAACCATGATTTGCTGTGCAATTGATCATATTTAAACACTTCAATTTCTGTATTTAGGCATAATATTCAACTGGCATTATTCTGGAGTTATTCATACCAGGGTTACCTCACAGAGTTACAGACGGTCACTTCACTCAAATTTATTCGAATAAGAGACAGTGACATTACTCAGCACTTTACTATTACTGAACTATATTAAATCCAGACAGCAAATCCATGATACTCTGTTAGAAATAAAGGTTCTGTGCAGGTACATATTTCATTCATCAAGGTACAAACTATGTAAATGTTCCCTCAAAAGTACAACAGTGGTTTTAAGGTCCAATTGTGAACCTTAAATAAGTTTTTCCAGGTAAAAAGTACGTATTTGTACCTTTTCATTACCTAACCTGTTCCAGATTTTTCTGCAAGCTGCAACTTGTCATTTGTTTGTTTACATGTGCTCTTAGCTGTTTACCTGCGGACAGCTCCAGTGCGCAGCATGGCCTTCTCTGAAATGAGGCTGAGGATCTGTTCCAGATTTTTCTGCAAGCTGCGAGGAATGATGAAGCGCATGGCAGGGCTCAGAACGTCACCATTCCTAAACACACTACACAGAGACAGCGTGTGGATATGCAGGGGTTAAATGGAATGATGGGAAAGTAGATTGTTTCTAATACAATCTTCATAAAATACATTTATATACCTAGACAGCTACACCAATTCTGTTTCACAATCATGCAAATATACACGATCAGGTATAACATTATGACCGCCTCCTTGTTTCTATGCTCAATGTCCATTTTATCAGCTCCACTTACTATATAGGTGCACTTTGTAGTTCTACAGTTACAGACTGTAGTCCATCTGTTTCTCTGCATACTTTGTTAGCCCCCTTTTACCCTGTTCTTCAGTGGTCAGGACCCCCATGGACCCTCACAGAGCAGGTACTATTTGGGTGGTGGATCATTCTCAGCACTGCAGTAACACTGATGTGGTGGTGGTGTGTTAGTGTGTGTTGTGCTGGTCTGAGTGGATCAGACACAGCAGCACTGCTGGAGTTTTTAAACACCTCAGTGTCATTGCTGGACTGAGAATAGTCCACCAACCAAAAATATCCAGTCAACAGCGTCCTGTGGGCAGCGTCCTGTGACCACCAATGAAGGACTAGAGGATGATTAGCTCATACTGTACAGCAAGAGATGAGCTATCGTCTCTGGCTTTACAACTACAGGGTGGGCCATCAACGCAGGTGCGTCTAATAGAGTGGACAGTGAGTGGACACAGTGTTCAAAAACTCCAGCAGCACTGCTGAGTTTGATCCACTCGTACCAGCACAACACACACTAACACACCACCACCACGTCAGTGTTACTGCAGTGCTTTAAGTAGCCTAGACCAGGGCTTCCCAATCCCAGTTTTGGTGACTCACTGATCTATACATTTTGTTGGTTCACTACTCTACACACCTGACCAAACCAACAAAGCACTTGTTAATTAGTTAACAAGTTGAATCAGGTGTGGTTGATGAGACAAAACACAAGAATGGATGTAATGTTGGGTTGCCAGGACTGGGATTGGGAACCCCAGGCCTAGAAAATATTAATTGTACTTTTTCCCCACTATAACGTTATAGTCAAAGCAATTCCAAAGCATTCCCTTAAGCAGCTAATCTAGTTTGCATAGCTGGATAAAACTGTCACCACTAAGGTAGATAAAACCATACAGTCAGCCTATTTCATGTGAATAAATTCACACACTTAAAAAAGATGGTTCTTCAAAGGTTCTTTAGTAATGAAAATGGTTCTATATAGAACCAATGACACTCAGAACACTTTGCATGATTAAAGGGTTCTTTGCATCATGAAAGCGTTCTTCAAATTGACAGAGAATATGCTGCAGATGGGTCTACATAGCACCTTTTTGAAAAGGGTGCTATATAGAGCTGTGGCGTGCGCCCGTAGACCGGGCCCCGATGGCAGCCGCCAGAGCTGGCAGGAAGGCGGGGCCCGAGCTCCAAGTGAGGACGAAGCCCGACGAGGGCAGTGGGGAGAGGAACCTCACTTGCGGTGTTCCTGCCCGGTGGACAGGTGCATGCCACAAGAGCCCTTTTCATAAAGGTGGTATTTTGGCATATTGGCACAATTTTACTACTTTTAATATTTAATATTATTTACAAAGCTGTTTCAGCTGTTTAAATTAGTCCTCTTGTTCTCTAATTTCTCTTTCCCAACATGGTGATTATTGAGGTTACATGCATCATTAGCATTATTACATTAATTTAAAGCATAAATCAAACTTTACATAAAAGAATGCTTTCTTTCGGTTTCATTTTTGGTGTTGAATAGTTGGTTATTGGTCAAAAGCATCTGCAAAATTTGCAGTAGTATAAACTTTTACAGTAAAGGTGCTCTGAGTTCCAAATCATGTGCAAAAAGCATTCAGACATGAGTTTTCATCAGTTAGCCCTGTGATGATAGCGCATGCAGAAACATGATGAGCGACTTTTATGAAGTTATCTATCTTTATCTAGTCATGCAACAATAAAGATGCTGACATTCTAAGAAGTGCACTTGTTGTGCACCATTTTACCCATGTGCCTTTTTTTAGAACCGAAACTTATCTTTCTGTCAGTCCAACAGGATGCATTTATGCTGAGGCTGTGAGTGAGACAGCCTGGGCAGAGTTGGGGACAAAGTTTTTGTACGACTCCATCTGGGAAACATGTGTTTGAGTATGGGAAAGCATGAAAGAAAGGCATGTGATTGAACATTGTTACTCACTGTATAATGCAGGGCAGCGTTATGACTTTCCTCCACTTTGCAGACACGTTGGGCCTGCTGAGCACTTTGGCCTGTAAACACATTAAGACAGCAACACAAAGGGGTAAACGTGGCTGGTACCTGGAGCAGCTCAATGAAACGCAGACAAAAGTGTCTCACCACCCGTGGAAACACAGAACACACAGCTGCTATCAAGTGTACCTTTACATCCATCACTCGCACAAAAACAATCAAGCCTGCAGTCAAATAGTGAGGTCATTGCTGCTGTTATCTCAGCTGGACCCTTGCATAAGAAAGAGAACACCGCTGTTTGGCTCAGATGTTGATTAAACGGCTCCCTATAACTAATGAATGTGATTGTTGCAGTGTGTTTAAGCCTTATGTCTTTAGCCAACTTGGAACACCAGACAGCACAATTTAGACATTTAAAGTGAAATTTAGTTTTCCTCCTTACCCAAATGTAGTCGATTAGCCGAGATATGTTTAGTGTCTGAAGTCTGCTTCTTAAGCGTTGCACTAAAGCTACAAGGCTATAGCTAACAAGCATGGATTGCAGCTAACAAGCTTACCAGATAGCATTAAACAACCCACATTTAATACATTGTGTTAAGTAATGTCTAACAGAATTGGTTATGTGGTTTCTGGTATTGTATGGCAAACTGATATCTGATATCAGAAGGCTGGGAACACAGGGCTGTTTCCAAAAATACAGAACACAGGTCAAGAGCCTTGAAAATTTAGACAGGATCTCATGCCCAGTTTACCACAGGATGTCTATAATGTTTGACCAATTCGCAGGGGACAAGAAATCTCGGTATAAATAACAGAGAAAGGAGTGGCTACTCAATTTACACACCGCCCTCACCTCAGAAAAGAGTATAAAACATGCAACATGCCAGTATTTTGTTTACCCTAACCATCTGTCTTGCTATCTTAGGTAAATGCACTGTCATTAGCTTGGGAAATCACAGCTAACATCACAGCATAAAATCAAACACTTTTTTCAGTAATTTTTACGTCTCTTAGAGCTCTGTGTTTGAGGTAGCACACTTCAGATGTGACAGTACATATCAGCTTGATTTGAGCCACAGAGAACATGAGTGATTCCATATTTCAGAAACTCCTTTTCCCACAGAATATATAGCCAGAGCCGGTTTATGAGGAGCCTGGCCACTTCCTATTCCCCCTGCGAGGGAGCCCTCAATGAATGGGAGTAAATGGAGCTCAATGGCTAAAAACAAAAAGCTAAAATAGTTTCTAATCACTCGCCCACAACATTTCTTTAATTTTAGAAAGCAGAAGGATGTATTTCACTAAAAAAGAAACACAGGAACCTGGGAACGCAGAGATGACCCCAACAATAGCAGACCTCTCTACCTCTCCAAGGCTCACCATGACTTAACTACTCCTACTTATACTACTACTACTAATAATAATCCCTAATTCTTAAATTACCCTTATTAGTCCCACAACGGGGAAATTTCACCTCCGCATTTTAACCCATCCATGCAGTGAAACACCACATACACACTAGTGAATGCACACACACTAGGGGGCAGTGAGCACACTGGCCCAGAGCGGTGGGCAGCCCTATCCACGGCACCCGGGGGGCAGTTGGGGGTTAGTTGCCTTGCTGAAGGGCACTTCAGTCACATACTGTCAGCTCAGTGGATCAAACCGGCGACCTTGATGATGATGATGATGATAATAATAATAATAATAATAATAATAATAATAATGTTTAGTTATTAGTGTTAGTTTTAACTACCATGAAACTACTTTGTAAGTTATGTAGTAATCAGTGTGAGGAAATGGAAATTGGGCCTCTATTCAGACTTTTAGGGTTGAAAGGCCATCAATGCACTAGTTAAGCACCAACATTCCTTCAATGATGTCATATTTTTTTACCCTTCAAAATAACACCTACATTTTCTGTCCCGCATAAGATTTACCACGGTCTTCTGACTTGCCAGCAGGCCTGCCTGCCTCTGTGCTACTTTATTGACTTTCCTTCTTCCATTATGGAGATGAGATACAGCTTCAACATGTCCTGACACGTCCAGATAAGAGCCCTACCTTTGTTACAAAGGACAATGATGAATTTTCACTGTAGCCAGAGTAACACAGCAACTTAACAAGAGACCACATCTTACAAAAAACTTGCCTGCCCTCACATAACTACACAGAAATACCACAGCAGGCAACCAATTCAACATTAAGACCAGCTGCCAGTTCAGCATTAAGCTTTAATACATAGGCTACTTCATAAGCTATAGATATTTTAAAGCTAAATTTAAAGCAGCTCCATGTTAATCATTAAAAATGTCAGTGTTTTTGTTTGCACTAATCATTAGTACTTGTAAACACAGTTAACGTCTTTGCAAAATCCCCATATTTACCACTTATGATGATTAACAACAGTTCACCTTTACCCTGCCAGAGGAGCCAGCGTGGCTAGGTCTTTAAAATGCTACAAGAACTACTATACTGACACCTCCTGGTTAATCCCTCACTCAGTATGTGAGTCTGATGACTCTTATGAATCTGTGAATCTTATGCAGCCTTTGCATTGACGATTAAATGGAGATTAAATGTAAGAATCCTGCTGAATGTTCTTTAATGAAGTGACAGGGAAGGTACAAAAATCCTCACATGTCCGAATTCAACACTCATTTTTTTTCAATGTAATAAAAAACCTGAGATGCCAGGATTAATGTGTAATGAAGTACTGAAGCCTCCTACACAGACCTACCTCTCCAGCCCTGACCACTGGTGCTCTTTTCAGACCCACACTCAGATAACTGTGAGAAAGAGAGAAAACACCATAGAAATAGATTATATTCATGCAGAGGCACTTGTTTCATACCTAAAAGCAGTAGCCGCCGTCTTGAAGGCTGAATTTTGTCCTGTATTTCGTCCATTTCCACAGATAACATGCATGTCAGAAAGCACAAAACAAGTCTGTTTGAGATTACTTAACAACTCGGCAGGTTTTGAGGCAAATGTGTAACAGGTTAGGCATGAAGCAGCTAAAATGGCCCCAACTGACATGCTTTTGTCCATTTTTATAGCTAACAGTAGGTCATAAGCTAGTCCATTTGAGATTATTTGACCTCTTCAACTCATTGGGACCACCGTTGGTTCCAAAATGCACTTCGTCATATTCTTTACTTCATAACTTTCATATTTTATAAGCTTCATTCAAAAGGTGGGGGTCGTATGAGAGCTGTAACTGTCTTCTTTCCAGTCAAATAGATGGGTGATGTAATTTTAAACCCTTATAATAAAAGAAGCTGAACTCACAATTCTTTTTTCTACTGAAAGTCGACCCATTTTTCCACAAATCTGAGCTACAAACTGGCTCTCAGATGGCGTCTCTTCAGTGATCTGCTCTGTAAAAATTACTTTCATAAAAATACAAAGTGTGTCTAAGATTTTAGCTTTCAGCAGTAAATTGTAAGCATAAAGCAATATGTGTGATCATAAACCACATGTTCTGTTAATTTGAGGGGAACTTTTAAAAATGCAGTCATTTCATGCAGTTACTGAATAATTTGTCTTATGATTTGGGTATGTAAATTCAGATGGAAAAAAGAAATATACCTAAGAGCATAAGTGGTTTTAACAGTTAGAGTGAGAGATAATTTAGATATGCTAGTAATCTTCACTCCTACTACTTCTTAGGTATATTAGCCTCGTAGCTCCAGTGCAAAACTTAATAAAGTAACCTCAGACGGCAAATACAGGGTGTCCCAAAACAATTGACATCATTTCGTAGTCTAATAACGTAGCCAATTCTCCCTCAAATGATCTCAGATTTTAACAAAATGTGTAAAAACTAACCAAGTTTAATTTTAATGTTTTTTTCAGGTTGAAGAATGGCGTTCACTAGAAATGAAAAGGCATTCTGTGTGTTAGAATATGCTCAAACACAGTCAAACGAGGGTGTGCAGCGAGCATTTTCGAGACAAACTCAATAAAAATGCACCAACTGGAAAGCAGATTTGGACACGGCACAAAAAATTCAAAGAGGAAGGCTGTCTGTGCAGGACAAAGGGATCTGGACGACCACTAGTATCAGTAGATATTACATTTGTGAAGCTGTGAAATTGGTTATAAAATCTACATCCCTCTGATTTTCTTGTTCGATTTTTGAAAATAAATCTTGTATTGTTCAACATGAAGCCTATTTAATTTTGTTTGCCTGCGACATGTAGTTACTCAGATATTCACATCTCAAATGATGTCAATTTTTTGGGACACCCTGTATTTCTTGGCTGATAAAGTGCGATACTCTGGCTGTTTTAGTTAAATGGCTAAACTGCTAGCTATAAGCTGTAACTTCGTTAGCCTTGCAACTCTGTGCAAAACTAAAGAAGCAAACTTCACACCATACATGTCTTGGCTGAGTGACCATATTTGGGGTTTTCACCATTGAAGTGCTGAACGTTGTCCACTTTGACTAAACTGCTAAACTATTTAGCTAAGCTTCAGTTACTATTAGTCTGTAAATGCTAATAAAGCAACCTCTGGACAATAAAAGTATAGGCTGATCAACTCCATTTGCTGTGAGGGATAAATGTGTAAATTTGAGCTTCTCTGTGCCATTTTTTCACTGAACAAAGGCTGTGAGAAACATCTCTGGACTGAAAAGCTCTTTTTACGCATTAGCAGGTTCATCTTGACGGCTACAATCAAATGCTTTCTAAAGCTCTGAACTTTGGACTGAAGAAGAGTGTGGGAATTAAAAGCAGTCTGACAACAGACAGAAAAGGCTTTCTCTGATCCCGGAGTACTCAGAGTGATCCCAGTCTGAAGCTGCTGCAACTGGCAGGCCATTAGGCCCGAATGATTTGAGGCAGACTGCTTTTTCTACTTTACTGCTGTACTGGTAATAAAGTGAGCACCTCCTGTGGAGACGCCACTTATTTGGTAACTCCAGAAGGAGAGGTTTTAACCAAGTGCTTGAAACTGCCTTGATTTTGGAATGCTAGAATCAGTTATTCTCAGATTTTAAAATGTAAAATATTAAAAAATGCCTTCATATGTTTTTAATATATTGCATTAATGTGGAAACAGTTCATCAACATTTGTGTATTGTGTATTATTAAGCATAACTCTGAATCAAACTGAAAATCACACCACAATAACAAAATCTAATATAATTTTGGCAAAATCTGAGATTTTATAGGTGTGCTGAAGCATAACTGAACTGAATCACTGTGGTTGTACTCACTCAATCTTTTTGAACCTCTCGAAGCCTGCAGCTACATACTGCGCCCCCTGCTGGAGATGTTCCAGGTCGGGCACCCTGTGACCATGCCGTGGGGTGTATAGAGTCCGGACGGCCAGTGGGGCTCCAATACTGACTGTTACGTCATTTAGGAACGCTTCCATGGTGGAGGTCTGCTTGTGGTTCACAATGAACCTCCTCCCTAAATAAGAATCATAGACAAGATAAATTAAGACCCATTCAGACCAGCGATTCACACTGAATACAAGGGCAACTACAAGCAAGGCTGGACAATGTATCATCTGTTAACGATTATGGGTGTTTTAATGAATCAAGCTATTTGTTTAACCCAGGGGTCGCAACCTAAATGTTAAGAAGAGCCATTTTGTCCTTTCAATAAAAATCAATCTGCCGTGGGAGTCACAACATTTTATGTCCATTTATTGAAGTAAGTTTCACCATCTTGTCTGTAAATATGCCTCAGTATGTGCTAATGCCCTAGCATGGGCTAAAATATATAATATAAACGAAAACACAGACTAACTTTGCTCTACTTTAAGCTTTAGCTCAGCTATAGCCGCTTTTCTCACATCTGTGGCAGGAAACTTTTCCACAAAAGTAGAACATTTACTTGTAAAATGTCTCTCAATGTCTGAATTTTTACAAGGCTGAAGTCAGCTTCTCATTCACCAGCTTCTTGTTTGAACTTTGGTGCCATGTAAGGTGGAACTGGAGAGAATTCGAACGAGAAGCCTTGCAACTTTTTAGTGTTTGACAGATTAAACGTATCAGGGAAAACAGCTAGAGTGTTTATAAACGCAAATAGGTCCATTCGTCTCCAAATTATCAATGTTCGTCTTAAATCTCTTTCTTTGCTGTTTCGTTAGCTACTAGCTGGGCGAAATTGTTTGTCTGTGTTGCTATGCTGACCAGCAGTCTGCGTGCCAATCTTCAGGGTTAAAGGCTGAACTTTTAGCTGTAAATATGGAACTTCGTGGAACGTTTAAGACCGTTTGTTGTTAAAACTGCATTAGAACAACCAGCAGAACAAAGGAGGATTATTTTACTTTTACCTAATAATCTAATTCTGCTGTGGAGCCACAACAGGGCAGTAAAAGAGCCGCATGTTGCCGGCCCCTGGTTTAAGTAAATTATTTTGCAAGCCAATATTTAACCATGTTATTGATTCATCAGTGAGGCTTTAACATATTGAAAATATGGCAATATAAACACAATTTTGCTCAAATCGTGCACCCCCAACTGCATGTATGACATGTTTTGTAGGTCTGTTATTGGCATATGTTTTCAATGTAAAGTACAGAAGGGAGAGGTGAATTAGTCTAAATCAGGGGTTGCTAATTCTGGTTCTGGAGTGCCCCTGTCCTGCTTATTTTTTTTTTTTTCTGCTTGACCCAACAAATCAGCTAATTAACAAGCCCTTCCTGAACTGAAGTGGGTATAACAGAGCAGGAAAAACACTGCAAAGCACAGGACAGGGAAACTACAGGGACCCTTGATTCAGACTATTTCACCACTCCATTTTGTACACTCTCAAAAAAGATGGTTCTTCAAGGGTTCTGTAGGAAAGAAAATGGTTCTATATAGAATCATGAACACTCAAAGAACCATTTGCATGATTAAAGGGTTCTCTGCATCATGACAGGGTTCCTCAGATTGATGGAGAATGTGCTGTAGCTGGTTCTATATAGAATCTTTTTGAAAAGGGTTCTATATAGCAACAAAAAGGGTTCTGCGATTGTTACAAGCTTGACATCATCACAACAGCAGAACCCTGTCACAACTCTATACAGAACCATATACAACACATTCTCCTTTAATATGAAGAACGCTTTCATGATGCAAAGAACACTTTAATCACGCAAAGGGTTCTTTGAGTGTTCATGGTTCAACATACAACCATTTTCTTTACTAAAGACCCCTTGAAGAACCATCTTTTTTAAGAGTGTACTTCAAGCCCAGACCACACCACCCCTACATTCTCCAACAACCACCAACAAACCCAAATATTAAGCTGGTGTGCTAAACCCTTGTGTGATTGTTCGGAGACCTCCCATTCACATGGGTTCTTCTGGCTTGTTAGTTTTTGTTCTGGAACAATATGAAGCCCAGAGAACATTTTCCAACAAGCATTAACATTTTATTGCTGGCAATCAGCTTTGTATTGTTTCAGAACAAGAACCGACAAGCCAAATGAACCAGTGTGTGACTGACTAGGGGAGAACAATCTAAAACAGTGTAGATTGAGGAGAACATTTCAGAACAGTATGAATAGAGGTGAACGTTCTAGAACAACGCGAATGGGGAGAACATTCTAGAATGGCGTGAAAAGAGAGAACATTCCGAATGGAGCAGAACATTTTATAACAGTGTGAATGGAGGAGAACGTTCTAGAAATCGCTAATTACACAATTTAGCATGAAATACAAGTATGTTTTATAAGTACAATCTCAGAAATAAAGGTACTAAACTGCCACTGGGACAGTTCCCCTCTTGTCACTGGGGTGGGACCCTCTAGGGTACCTCTCAGTACCTTTAGTCAGGGAACATAATTGCATCATAATCCATTGAAACGCTATTCTCTAAGCCGTACTGACTCCACACACCCTCGTCTCCAGGCTTTTTATTTTACTGTTCTGTTTTAAAACATTCGGTTATGAAAAAGTACAAATACAAACTTTTCACCTGGAAAAACTTATTTAAGGTTCAAAACTGGACCTTAAACTCACTATTGTACCTTTGAGGGAACATTTACATTGTTCGTACCTTGATGAATGAAAAATGTACCTGCACAGAACCTTTATTTCTAATAGTGTAAGACCCCAGTAGTTCCCATTGATTAGAAGAGAAACTAGGTGCAGGATTGGACAATATATCATTTGTTAATCATTATTGTGATATTGGCCTTTGCAATACTGATATCGCAGAAGGCTGCATGCTCAGTATTGCTCAGTTCTCCTGGTGTTTGTTAGAGAACGTTAGGTCAGTGTGCTCTGGACTTTAAGCTGACTGACAGCTTTAGAATATAGGTCAATGCTGTGTAATGTTGAGTTGCCGTGCTCAGGGCTTCCTATTGAAAATATAAAACAATGCCACACCTACAAACTACGTCATGCATGTAAACTGACCTTGTAATTTAGACACAACAGATTTACCCCTTTACATCGTCATGCATAATTAAGTTATACAAACAATGGACTAAAATAAGCAGCTACATTAACCTGCAGTAAAGTGAAGAAGCATTAACAGACCTGTGAAGAAAGGATCTCCATTCCTGTACACCACCACACTCTTCACAGGGGGCAGCAGAGTGCTAACCCCACTGGAGGCCATTGCACTGAACTGGCTGAGACGAATTACGTCCTGGAATGTACATAACAATGTTGCTCAATGTATTGAAAGTTCAGCGATGGTCCACTGCAGCATGGTAAACACTTCTGACCCTTTCAGTTCTTATTTAAACAGAGTAATGCTGCATTGTGGTTGTATTCTGCCTGACAGGACAGGCTCACTGGGCACCAGCTGGACATTACATTACATCTCTCCACTCATATTACTGTGCACTGCCACTTGTTTATACATCCATAAATGTTTCATATTGCACAACTGTTAACACATCGCTTACAGTGTATAGTCACTCGGTTCATTCACTGGAGAGGACACACACCACTGCATTGTCAACTGTATAGCATTTGAGATTTTACTACTTATTTTTGTACTGAACATTATATATTTATTGTTGTTTTAGTATATTTTATTATTTATCTTTACTTCTTCTGTTTCCGCATGCGCTGTAAATAGTGTACGGCAATACTTTTGCTCTTGTTTTGCTGTTTACTGTACTTTGGACTGCTGCAGTAGAAGACTTTCCTTCTGGGACCAATAAAGTGATCAATCGATCGATCTATCGGCCTGTCTGTCTGTCTATCTATCTATCTATCTATCTATCTATGTCCTATAAGAATCAAAGTGCACATGCTAATTTGACTCCTAATTTGACTCAGGCAGGCAGAAACACAGCATTAGCATACATAAAATTAAGTATCCAAATTTTAGAGCACAATTTCTGCTTATTTCTTGAGTTTAACATATTAGAGAAAAAACAACATTAAATATAAAATGTGCCATAACTTTTGCACAGGTCACATACATTACTGTTTTTTACAGTTTAACATTTTGGAAAAAAGAAAAAGTAATTTCGCACTAAAATGTGCAGAAGTGTGTTCTCTGTGGAGGGACTAAATATGTAATTTGACCAGAGGTGCCCAAACCTTTGCATACGACTGTTTCTGAAACATACAGGTGAGTTTTATTCAGTAATCTTTGACTTTAAGCTCCAGAGACAATCAGTATAAAGTGTAACCCATTTTTATTTTGGTTTTAAACTCAGTGTAATGAATGCTAGGCTGAACTGCTCTTCCTTTTCTCATAGTTAAAGGGCAATCCCATCAATTTTTCAAAATTTTTGAAAAATCATTCAGAGGGGTCTGATGTGAAATGGTTAATTTGCAGAGAAATGTATCCACTGAAATTTACAGTGGTGGTGATAAGAACCAGGGGTCGCCATGTCTACAACACACCTCTCCACCATTAAAAAAATACATTTTAGGGCAAAACTTTATCTAAGAACAATTGTACAACAAATTTTCAGGTATCAGGCAGCATCTTTCTATTATTTTATGTTAATAACTTTTTTTGAGGGGCCTTTTGGAGGCCTTAAACGTCTGGTTCCTATCACCAGCACTGTAAACAATTCTGCATCAGTAGCGTTCTCTGGAATAATGCATTTTTTTCAACATTACATATAAAACCACTCAATGTTTCTTAGACAGTGCACTGTTAATGATTAGATTATGCAGAAATTTTGATGAATCAGTGTAAGTTGGCTCTTAAAACGTCAAATAAGGCTCTGTTCTGACTTATTTAATGACTTATTTGAGAATTTTATTAAACTGTAAGAATTTTTCTCTGGTCAATCCAACTAAACACTGGATGTTCAGACAGTAAAGTGTTATTAATGTTTTTTTGACACAGTATCATTTTCATATAGTGATTCGACACTAGTTATCAGTACCGAATTCAAAATTCTGGCATCATGGCAACCCTCATACAGAGACGCACTTTTCTGACCCCACAGTTAACACCCACGCACCGCCCACATTCTCTTACACAGACAATCTGAAATGCTGGTATGTCCTATAGATGGACAGAACACACCTGTGCCGAAGCATCTTTGGGATACAGACAATATTCACTTACTTTCATCCCCAGTTTTCACAATCCAACCGACGATGACCTCACACAGCACTCCCTCTCTACATATATATACCTATCATATACATTCTATATATGTCGTACAGCCCTCCCCACACCCACACACCTCAGTCTCATACTTACAGCAGATTATATCATCCAAATAACCTCACTGTATCCAGGTGTGTCTCAAAAGCAGTGATGCTTGCTACGTTGTGGTGGCTGTATCTTGTCTCGTACGCGGTCTTGTGCGGTGCAGCACTCCACAGCAGCTCACGCGTTTAGTGTCTCTCACGCACACACTGAAGTGTTTCCTGGTTGCTAGGCAGCGCTGCCAGCGATCAGTGGCAACAACAAAAGAGGGGAAAGGAGGAGGGGGGAGACTGGGGAGAGAGAGAGAGAGAGAGAGAGAGAGAGAGAGAGAGAGACAGTACAACAGGTCGCAAAGGCATAAATCTGATGACCTTGTCACCTCTCATCTCTTTCCCTCCTAAAGACAACATGTATTTATCATGTAGAACAAAAACATGACTTTTTGACTTTTACATTTATTACACAGTAATAATACAATAAAATAAACTCTATTACAGAACTACAGATCAACAAAACCAACTGTCGAATGTCAGAAATTATTCAACACTCCCAAAGAGTTTGATATAGTAAATCTAGTGGAGTACAAAAAGCACAGTATTGTAAAAGGAACAAAAAACGTCATATACAACACTGTACAAAAGTCAGAGTGCATAATTATATATACTTTCCTGTCCAAATAGCCACTAAAGGGGATTCAAGCATTTTGATGTAAATGTTTGAGATGTAAACAGAGTCATTCAGAGTGGTTTGGTGTGAAACGCTCTGTTCTAGAGAAACTTACAGAGTCAGAATTGTTCACAGTGGTGGTGATAGGAACCAGACGTCCACCTCTAAAAGCTCCCTCACATAGAGTTATTCGATGCAATGGTTATGAATTCACTGCCTGATGTCTGAGACACAGTTTTACAATAGTTTTGACATAAAGTTTTGGCCAAAAAATATCATTTAATGGTGGAGGGGTACATACAGGGTGTGTAAAGTAGTCCTCAAGTCAACATTACATATAAAAATTCAGAAGACACTTAGCCTCACTAGTGGTTTAGAATAGTAAATAAAATGACTAGATTTGTGTTGTAGTCATGGTGACCCCTGGTTCCTCTCACCACCACATTGGTGGAATTCTTCTTAAAGTTCAAGCTATTCATTTTTCAGGGTCAGAAAATCAAGCTGCTTCAGATCTGAAAACATCCACAGGTGTTTCTGTCCATCCTTCCACTGTGAGAAGACGACTCAGCGCTGTGGGTCTGAAAGGATGTGTAGCTGTCAAGAAGAGCCTCACTGAGAAAAGGAGACGGACACATCAAACAAAGAAGCTGAACGATGGACTGACCACCCCAGAGTCCAGACCTCAACACCACTGAATGTGTTTGATTACTTCAGAAAATGATCAACCAGCTTCTAAGACTGAACTTGTGTGTCTGCAGATTCTTTGAGGAACTGAAAGTGAGTCTCCTGAAAAGAATGGAAGCTGGAATAAAGGTAAAAAGTGGACACACTGAACATGTTGATATTACATTTAGTTGTTGAGGCCTTTGAATATATTTTAAATTTTTTTTTACACTGAAAAAATTATTACTTGTACTTAAAGGCTGTTTGCAATGGAAAAGGCTGAACGTATCTACTGAAATGATCATAGAAGAAAACGGGCTGGAGATCTGAAGTTGTGGCAAAGCTGTTCTCCTCCTTTAATATTTCCAGAGCTGAAATGTGTCAGCATGTCCATTTAGAACCTTCACTTGTGACTCCGCTGTCCATTACTTCGGCCCTTTGTTGTTAGGCCACTTCCATCTTCTGTTTCAAGGTGAGATACTGCCAAAGAGAAAGAACATCATGAGGCACAAGAACGACATGCACGAAAGCACGCTGTCAATCTAATCCTTCTTTTCTGATGCCAAACACTAGCTGGCTTATTCAGTATTAAACAGGCCTGCACCCTTTTTTAGTAGTAATCATTTCTAAAGAAACTTTATCCTCCTTATGCTGCAGGCATTTTATTGCAGGGTATTACATACCTATACATGATATAACTGCACAGGAATGCTTTAATAATAAACAGACAAATATTACTTTGTGTTACATCATATTACATTGTGTAATAAAATATATGGCACGGTGTAATAACTGCCAGCGGCATGAGTCACTTCACTCACACAGCAGTCTCATCTGTTATGATGAAAGACTTCATATCCACATTATATACTGTTGTTGTTATATTTGTGTGGTTTTATGTACCAAAACAATTTCAAAACTCTCTTTATCTCTTAAAATTAACCAGGTTGCTTTTGTTACTGTGCCTTTAAGATGATATATATATATGTAAATGAGCTCTGTCTTGATTGGCTGTCCTGTATTGTGTCTCATACAAAAAGTAGTCCAGGCTGAAACGCTCCTTATAACTTCAGTGCCAATGGGCAGGGTTAACTGCTGTGAGCTGAGAAGGCAGATATGACTGTATAGGCTGGGGGGTGAATGGTACATTCTAAAGCTTTAACAATGTTTACATGCTACACGCAAACTCTTTTATTCCAAAAAAAGCAGGAAAAATGTTTTTTACACAATATGGGCTCTTAAAATAAGCCAGAAAAGGTCTTACATTAATATACACTACCATTCATTAGTTTTGAATCACGTGCCATATTTACAATTGTTCACCAGTAATAATTTGTACACTGCAGACTGAAATGTGAAAACATAAACTGATGCTCTACTCACAGTTTAAAGTCTTTAATTATGACATGGTGAGAAAACAGCAAATGCTATTAAATAATGACTGTAATTATCTATTCATAGTAACTTCTTGTCATAAAATTACTACAGCTATTTCAATTTTCAATTAAAAATTAATCCTCCATGTTATACAGCTTTCTCAATAATACAGAATACAGAATCATCTACAGCTCCAATCACAAAGATGAATTTCCTCATTTTTACACCTTATAAATTGTAAATATAAGTTTGTTTGAAACCTACAGAATATCAGTGTCATAACTGACGTTTGAGTGTAAATAAGTTAACACATCCTTTACAGGGAACAAACTAAAATATGGCATTTTTCTGCAAATTTTACCATACAATTTCTATTTATTTGCTGAGTTTAACATACTGAAAAATAATAAAACATAAAACAAACATAAAATGTGCCATAACTTTTTGCAATTTTATGATTTATTTTTCTTCCAATATGTTACATTCAGCAAATAACCCGCAATCGTGCATTAAAACGTATATAGGCGTGTTCACTGTAGAGGATGTTTACTTTTTCACATAGAAAATCAAGAAAGCGTTTAATTTAACCAAGGGTGTGCAAACCTTTGCATACACCTGTATCTCCAACAAAACTGGTTTTATATTACTGAAAACAGCAGTGCACACCGATCAGCCATAACATGATGACCACCTCCTTGTTTCTGCGCTCATTGTCCATTTTATCAGCTCCACTTACTATATAGGTGCACTTTGTAGTTCTACAGTTACAGACTGTAGTCCATCTGTTTCTCTGATACTTTGTTAGCCCCCTTTTACCCTGTTCTTCAGTGGTCAAGACCCCCATGGACCCTCACAGAGCAGGTACTATTTGGGCGGTGGATCATTCTCAGCACTGCAGTAACACTGATGTGGTGGTGGTGGTGTGTTAGTGTGTGTTGCGCTGGTCTGAGTGGATCAGACACAGCAGTGCTGCTGGAGTTTTTAAACACTGTGTCCACTCTATTACCTTGTTGGTCCACCTTGTAGATGTAAAGTCAGAGACAGCAACTCATGTTTGTCAGCATAGTTTGTGTTGGTCATCCTCTAGACCTTCATCAGTGGTCACAGGACGCTGTTGGCTGGACATTTTTGGTTGGTGGACTATTTTGAGTCCAGCAGCGACACTGAGGTGTTTAAAAACTCCAGCAGCACTGCTGTGTCTGATCCACTCGTACCAGCGCAACACACACTAACACACCACCACCATGTCAGTGTTACTGCAGTGCTGAGAATGATCCACCACCCAAAGAGTACCTGCTCTGTGAGGGTCCATGGGGGTCCTGACCAGTGAAGAACAGGGTAAAAGGGGGCTAACAAAGTATGCAGAGAAACAGATGGACTACAGTCTGTAACTGTAGAACTACAAAGTGCACCTATATAGTAAGTGGAGCTGATAAAATGGACAATGAGCGTAGAAACAAGGAGGTGACCATCATGTTATGGCTGATCGGTGTGTATTAAAGTTATGAAAGTTTATTACTCCATACCTTCTTCCTGCTAGCGATGGCCTGCTGGATCCACAGCAGCTCCATGGCCAGCGCTTTTCTGTGCTGTCTCAATGCTTCAGGACTGTGTGCTACATCTTTAAGAAGAGGGCGCGTTTGGCTGCCTGTCAGACAGAAAACAAACACAAAGTAACTTAAACAAGTTTGCCTGAAATGATGAAACAGGCAATATTAATAATAGCATAAAGCACTAACACCCAGCACTCAAACACAAACCTTTTTGCAGAAAGCTGCTGTAGCTGGTCTCTAAGGCCATGCTGCTCATATCTACGCCTGCTTCAGTCTCCATTCCCTCTCCCTCCCTGTCGCCCCCTGGTGGTGTACAGGTCTGGCTGCCTTCTCTCTGCGGGCTGCCGTTGGGCTCTTCATCTTTCTCAGCTACTAAGACCACAGTGTGTACAAGAGACTTTCCACTTTCTTCAGGCTGTTCCTTCAGCTTCTCTGAATCCTCAGGATGAGTCTGGGTCTTTGGCCGACGGTATCTGAACGATGTGCTCTTCTGATGACAAAAACATCAGAAATGCTTCAGAAATCACAGTAGGAGGTGACCAACACTCCTCTCAGTTACACCGCGAGCAAACACAGATAAGTGAATAAAACAAAACAGCAGGTCCTACATCCAGTCATGTACACTACCAGTCAAAAGTTCAGACACACTTACTGAATAAACATTTTTCATCCTTTTAAAGACATTCTGATCTAAACACTTGCCTTTAATGCAAATTTCATTTGTTTCTAAGACAAATACAAACAGTGAAGCTGATATCTATGTAAAAATAATTTCCAAAACAACTTTTCAACTTAAAGCTATACTATGTTAATTTTGGGGATTTGGAGACCTCTCTGGTAGAAATGCGTAATTGCACATGATGTGCAGAAAAGCATTCCGTAACGAGGGTTGTCTCCCTTCCCCGAGTGAATGAATCTGACGATTGAAAGAGAACTCACTCAGTCAAAACATGGTGAAGTTCTGACTTTTTCCTAGGAAGTTACCGAATCATCTAAGATTATCTACTATCCATTCATTCTCTTCAGATTTTGCATTTGAGACCTAAACATCAAGCTGGACCTTCTATTTGAGCCTGTTTGTGTGACATTCACATGTAAAGATGTACGATGTGGTCCAAAAAATATTTCCAACCTGACACTTCTGACTAAACAATTATTGCAGGTTTTACAGGGCGGCTTGCGACAGCACACGCACACCACATTTTAGCCTGTTGTTATTCTCCTGACTCTGATTTCTTTCAGTTTTAACAAAAAAAAACTTACATAATGCAGCTTTAAAGATTTACACAATGTGAGCTTCAGGAAAAAAAAATACATAAATCTGAAAAAAGGTCAGTGCCCAATTTGGGTACAAGGAAATCAAAATCTGCCATTAAAATTCATTATTGATGCATCCCTATAATCAAAGGATTCACATGATCCAATAATCTATCAAAATCCTTGAAATATGGTACATTTTCCATATCTTGCAACACTATTCTGGATCTGAATTAGTTCTGTTAGTGAGAAAAAACAATGCATGAACTGTGCAGTGGAGCTGAACATAAGACTGGACTGAAATAAAACTTACCCTGTCTGTAAAGTGGGGTTTGGGTACGAACTGACCCCTCCAGGTCAGATGCTCCGCAGAGCCTTCAAGTTCTTTGACGATGTCCTCAAATTCAGCCTGTACTGACCGCAGCTCTTTCCTGACCAGAAAGCCACGACACTGAGCCTAGTGCACAAGGTAGAGGAAAAATAGGCATCAGAATAGGACTTAAATAAGCAACAGCCTCTACTCTTCTGGGAACGCTTTACACTAGATGTTGGAACATTGCTGTGAGGATTTGATTGAGCATTAGTGAGGTCAGGTGCTGATGTTGGATGATCATTTCTGGATCACAACTCATCCCACAGGTACTGGATTGAACACAGTTCCACTGCTCCACAGCTGGGGAGCTTTATACCCCTTGAGCCCACATTTGGCATTGGACATGGTGACCTTAGGCTGCTCCAGAACATCCCATTCTATTGGTCACTGGTTTTCTATGGAGATTATACAAGCGGAGTGTGCAACTGAACACCTGTGCCAACAATGGGTGCACTTTAAATGGGCAAACTGGCTTAAAACCAGCATTTAATATGCGATTTCTCATGTTATGTATTATTCTGTAGTGCAGTATCTCATCCCTCGGCTTCATAGATTTGACAGAATTCACAATTCTGTATCCTTTTTGTGTCTATCAGCACTCTTTCACTACAATACCCAGCATGCATTACACAAATACATCATACAACCACTGAGAAGTGATACAGAAATGTAATGATTTAGTAGCTACATCAAATACAGATGTGATATTCAGCTTCACAGCAGTAAAATTAGGTACCTGGCTTCTTCCTGCATATTCCAATTATGTAGGGAAAAAAAACAATTACACGTCCTGCCCTCACGTACCCGCCTCTAAACGCTTGTAGTTTCTCAAAAGCCCCTCCCACCTTCAAGATGCATCACCAAAAAATCTCACTCTTGTGACTATAAAGGTATCACTGCAGAAGGTGAGTAGACATGTTTACAACACATGTAGTGATGCTTACATATTTAATTTTGGCCAAAGTGTCCCTTTAAGAAAACTGAATTAACTTATTAAAAGGGGTACCGGGATCTCTCTGCGCTTCACCTCTTCAACTCCTTGGGACCACCTTTGGTTCCAAAACGCACTTCGTCATATTCTTCATAACTTTCATATTTCATAAGCTACATTTAAAATGTAGGAGTCATATGAGAGCTGTAACTGTCTTCTTTCCAGTCAAATAGATGGGTAATGTAATTATAAACAGATGGGGTCTTTTCAGTGATCTGCTCTGTGAAAATTATTTTTATAAAATAATACAAACACTAAGATTTTTGGCTTTCAGCAGTAAATTGTACAAACAGTAAATTGTAATACAGCTCCCGTCTCACCCAGAAAGCCCTCTGAATGGCAGGTGATCCCACTCACCCACTACACAGCTTCTTCAGCCTGTCTGCCTTCAGGGAGGAGACTGCGGAGTCTCCGGGTCAGGACCAGCAGACTCAGGGACAGCTTCATCCACCAGGCTGTGGATGTTTGGACCCAAACACAGGTTCCTGACCCCCACTCCCCAATAGTGAACTCTGACATTCTCAGGGACTGTTACGCACCCATCACTTTAACTGCTCGATAAGCTCATTCTGGTTGCACTACTGTTTATAATTGCACTATTTATACCCACAGACCTTAATCTGAATGTGCCTTATGTCACTTTAGTGTTAAATTCAGGGACCTTCTTATATCTTATATTTTTATTATTCTATTTTTCTACAATTAGTGTTTATTTTTATGATTAGAGTTTATTTAGTGTCTATTTAATTCACACATTTCCTGTTTACTGTCTATTTAATGTTACTGCTACACCATGGGGTCTGAGAGTAACGCAGTTTCAATACTCTGTATGTCCTGTACATATTGTAGTATTGACAATAAAGCTGACTTGACTTGTAAGCATATAGCAATATGTGGATGATCATAAAACACATGTTCTGTTCATTTGAGGGGAGCTTTTACAAAATAAATAAATAAATCAAATAAAAATTTACATTTATTTCATGCAGGTACTGGATAATTTTATGATTTGGTCAAGTAAATTCAGATGGACAAACCAAAATACACCCTGGAGAATAAGAGGTTAATGAATATCATCTGTAACGGTGCTTTTATTCACAGTTTTCAGCTTAGACTATGAAAAATAAGACACCCAGCTCCTGTAAACCTAAATGTAAGAACTCTAAGAACCAGTGGTGGACAGAAATGAAGCAAATGTAATTCGTTTCTGTACTTCAGTAGTTTTTTTGTGTATCTGTACTTTACTGAAGTCTTTCCATTTTGGGCGACTTTATACTTTCACTCCACTACATTTCAAAGTAAATATCTTACTTTTTACTCCACTACATTATGAGAAATCTGTCCTTCCTTTTGGTTTATGTGTGTATAAAAACGTAACATGTCAAAACGAAAGAAGTGCAAAGCAAAAACACCAATCAGGGCACAGCGGCACTTTGTGTTGAGCTTGTTTTGACCTGTTGGTCATACCGACCCAGTGCAGCACACAGTTCAACATCAGTGCAGCAGCGTAAAATTTTGGGAGAGTCTATTCAACATAAATGATGAACTAACCTAACTTTGTGTAAATAGACCACAATATAGAAATATGTACACATATGCAGTTGTGACTGACGTGTCTTTTTCTGAATTTATACAAACATTATTTCATTTTATAGTAAATGTGTTTTGGCTAGTTTATGTTTATGAACAGAGACCTACAGATGCAGTTTAGTAAAGGAAACTCATTTGTGAACCTGAGTTTAAAGTTTTTATTAAACTTAAACTTGTAACTAAGCTGCAAATAAATCTTAAACTGAAACTTTGCTTGTTTGTAAAAAGTGATTTCAGAGCCACTCAGTTCTACCTGATGGAAACTGTTTGCCTTCAGTGTTTTGTGCTTATGATAATTTTAATAGACATCAGCGTCACTAATTAATGACTCTATTAAAAGACTGGTTTACCAAGAGTGACACTGCAGCATTTTCACCTAAAATGAGTTAATGAAGCGAGTCTTGTTACAAAAATGATATCAGGACATTAAAGTCATGATTAATCTTTTAGTACTTTTACTTTCGATACTTAAGTACATTTGAAGGCAAATACTTCTGTACTTTTACTCGAGTGGAGGTCTAAAGGGAGGAACTTCTACTTTTACTGCAGTAATATTTTACCTGTGTATCTCTACTTTAACTCAGGTACATGGTTTGTGTACTTCGTCCACCGCTGCTAAGAACTGTGCTGATACCAGTAACACTGAATTGGGGCGTATTATATTAAATAACTCACAGAAATAAGCAGATTAATAAAACAAAGCTGAACAAAACTCGTCAGTGGCTTCACAGAGGCTGTTTCTAACTACCAGTTTCTCTATTACTGTCTAAACAATTCAGTTCAGCATGTTAGCCGAGGAAAAAGGAACAACTGCACAAAGCAGAACAAAATAAAGTCATTTTACCTGAAAACAGGTCATATTTTTAACCCATTCTTGTTTCTCCATTAACCGCTTTGTTTATTTTTCATAGCAACACAAAATTTCGCTCCTTCTCTCCTTCGTGCTCTGCTGCAGCGGAACTGAGAGGTGTTCGGCGCCCTCTAGCGCCAGGAGGCGGTACTACACCCCTCCTTCACTGAGCTGCCCAGTCCAAACTACAGGGTGTCCCAAAATAATTGACATCATTTTGTAGTCTAATAACAGCCAACTCTCCCTTAATGATCTCAAATTTTAACAAAATGTGTAAAAACCAACCAAGGCCCTGTGATGGACTTGCAACCTGTCCAGGGTGTATCCTGCCTTCCGCCCCATATGACAGCTGGGATAGGCTCCAGCACCCCACCGCGACCCAGAAGGATAAGCGGTTTAGATAATGTATGTATGTATGTATGTATGTATGTTTTTTTTGTTCAGGTTGAAGAATGGTGTTCAGTAGAAATGAAAAGGCATTTTGTGTGTTAGAATATGCTCAAACACAGTCAAACAAGAATGCGCAGCCTGCATTTTCGAGAAAATTCAATAAAAATGCACCAGCTGGAAACAGATTTGGACCCGGCACAAAAAATTCAAAGAGGAAGGCTGCCTGTGCAGGACAAAGGGGCCTGGACGACCACCAGTATCGGAAGACTTAACATTTGTGAAGCTGTGAAATCAGTTATAAAATCTACATCCCTCTGAATTTCTTGTTTGAATTTTGATAATTAAATATTGTATTGTTCAACACGAAGCCTATTTAATTTCGTTTGCCCAGGACCTGTAGTTACTCAGATATTCACTTCTCAAATGATGTCAATTTTTTTTGGGACACCCTGTATTATTATTAGGTGCCGTCAAGTCGTTCTCGACTCCTGGCGACTTTATTTTTCTCCAATATGCCCTGTCATCTATTTTGGGCCTTCATAGCTGGTCCATGACTGCTCTGATTCTGTCCATCCATCTTGTCGCTGGTCATCACCTTCACCTTTTACCTCCAAGTCTTCCAAGCATAATGGTCTTTCCCAATGAACTGGTTCTTCTGAGAATCTGTCCAAAATAAGAGCTTCAGTTTAGCTATCTGGGCTTGGAGTGAGAGGTGAGGCTTGATTTGGTCGAGGATCCATTAGTTTAGCTGTCCAAGGTTCTCTCCAAAGTCTTCACCAATACCAAAGCTCAAAGGCAGGCCTGAGCCTTGGGGTCCTCCTCCAGCAACAGAATCCATTTACATAAGAAGAGATGGTCTGAATATAAGCCAAACTTTATGCGTTTCCTTCATGAGTTTAAGGAATATGGCGCAAAACATATAAAGAAGGAAAGGACTGTGTTCCAAAAACTAGGCTGCAGCCTACATAGGCTGCCTTTCTAGACTGCAATGTCATTCAAGGCTGTTCCAATTAGACTGATCCTTTCAACGCAACTGAGAAATGCAGCCTACATTCTGTTCATTTTTGAGCTCACTATCGGAGTGTCATTCCTGATCACCCATAATCCATTGTGCATGCATCAGAAATGAGAAATCATTTGTGGTATTTAGGGGGTCCCATGTTGTCTGGCTACTCCAGCATTGGCTAAGTGCTAACTCACTCACCATAGTGGCTCTGATGCTTCAGTGGCAACACAACGTTTGCACCCCTTCTGCAGCCAGACGGTATCATTTCATTTCATTTTATTAGGTGTAACCAAAGCATACAAATCCAAAACACACAGTTATTAAATCATTAAAGCGAAGGAAGGCAGGCCGACTTCCGCTGTTTATTCAGGAGGCTGCAGTGTTTAACCCCGGACAATTTTTTTCCATTTTCTCTGAGTTGGAATGGAATGGGTAAGGAATGTGGTCCATAATGAAATTTAGTAGCTAGAAAAAATTAGGTCCGTATTGGAATCCATTAACTGGACATCTAACCGTGGACTTTCAGATGCAGATTGTGCTGAGCTTTCAGTGTGCTTTAACTATAAAAAGCAATTAGACTGACAATTACAGTATTGATCCCAGTGGTCCAGAAGTTCAACATTAATGTCTGGATCTGTTATAGCAGAACTGTTGATATGAGCAGCCAAAACCTGGTGCAGAATGAAAAAAATGCTCTCCCTTTCCGAAATTAGGACAATGTCCAGATGATGGACAGGTCACCTTTGGTGAACTAACTGGTGCCAAAGTTCTCATGTACATTTACCTCCAACATCCAGACATAGTACAGCAGCGCTGGGGAAGCTAAAAGTTACTCTCCAGGGAAATTAAGCTACAGCAAAGTGCAAACAAAGACAGAAAACCCAGTTAGCTTTGCTAAATCAAATTTTAAGCAGTCATAGCTAATCAATGAAAAATACCTCTGCTGATAAAAACAGCTTGGCCAGCTTAAGCTGGTTAAGTTGGTTGACTAGCATAGGATGTTTTTGCTTGACTTTGGTTCATTGACCACATGACCAAGCTGGATGACAGGCATGACTAGCTCTTGAACAAGCTGGCTGACCAGCACCAGCATAACCAGCTCTTGACCATGCTAATCGACCAACATGACCATGCTAGTCGACCAGTAAAACCATCAAACTTAAAACAAAAACATTCACTATGCTGGTCAACCAGCTTGAACAGCTGTTTGGCCAGCACAGGGTACGTTTTTACCTAGTCCAGCTGGACGTCCAGCTTGTCAACAGCCTACGCCAGGGGTCGGCAACATGCGGCTCCGCAGCCACATGCAACTCTTTTACTGCACTGCACTCCACAGCAGAATTAGATTTGTAGGTAAAAATAAAATAATCCTCCTTTACAGTAAAATAAAACTTTGCTGATCATTCAAACACTAAAAAGTCGTGAAGCTGAAGTCGCTTCTCATTCGAATTTTCCCGTTCCACCTTAAATGGTGCAGCAGTTACATTCTGGCGCCTTTGGTGCCATTTAAGGTGGAACTTCAGCCTCGAACACTGAGAGACATTTTACAAGAAACTGTTCTACCTTTGAGGAAAAGTTTCCTGCCAGAGATGCGAGAAAAGCAGCTATAGCTGAGCTAAAGCTTAAAGCAGAGCATAGTAAGTCTGAGTTTATGTTTGTATTTTTTAGTCTATACTAGAACATTCACCAGCACATATTACAACATATTTTTTTGTGGCTCCCAAGGTGGTTTGATTTTTGTTGAAAGGACAAAATGGCTCTTCTTCACATTTGGGTTGCCGACCCCTGACCTAGACCATCTGAAACCAGCTACCATCAAAAGCTGATCTTAGCTGGATTTTTCAGCATGGACATCATGTTTGAGGTCTACAACAGTAACAATCATTTTTCACTCACCAAAATGGAATGGGTGCGCTTTCCCTTTTCATTTAGTAGCCTATTGATGATATAATATTATAGCAATAATTTGTAGTAACATAATTTATAGCAACAAAAATGTAATGAATCTAGTAGCTTCAGTCAATCTACTGCACTTCACTGTCAGGCTACTACAAAACGTAGCTAAGCTAGTAGCTTAATTATTCAGCTTCTCAGCTTCTCCCAAACGCTGGTAAAAACAAGCTTTTACAAATTATATGAATAAGTCGTTCAAAAATGCTGCACTTTCCCTTCAGTGTCTCAACAAGCACATAGCATTTCTCTACAAATTAGCTCTACATCTGTAGTACATTGCTCAACATCAAAACTCAACACTACTTCACAAACACAAAAACATCACCAACAACTCAATATCAAGAACGATTACTCACACGTGGGTATAAACCTCATTATGTGTTCCAGTTTAAGCCACTGGAGGCGTTCCCAAAGTGTTTTCTCTAAAATATTCTTGTTTCTGCTACAAATTGAAGAGGCACCTTAAGGTCCAATCGTCAGTCCTGAGCGAGTCTACAGCTACTGTACCGCTCGTCGTTGCAGAGCGTTAAACTAACCAGATGAAGCACAAACTAAACCTTCCACAAGAAAGTGACGAAAACTAAACTTGGGCTACGTTTACACAGCAGGTAAAAGTGGCCCAAATCCGATCTTTTTCTCCATATGAACGCATTGAATCTGACATTTTCAATTCCGATTTGAGACGCTTTCATATGCGGTACTGAAATCTGATACGTATCCAATCTGCAGCAATGCGACTCAGTCTGAACAGCCAGATTGGAATTCATGCGACTTTTACGTCAGTCCTACTCAACATTCATCATAATTTCGCGCTGCTGAGACTCATTTAGGCTGATGTTTCTGTACCAAAACATTAGAAGAGACTCATTGCAACCGATCCGTGTTCGAAGAGGTTTCGAGTTCACCATAAAAAGGGCACATTATTAAAAGTTCCGAGAATCCGAGGACACGAACCAAAGAAGCGACCGTGGCTGAATAACACGCCCTTTTTACGGCGAACTCGAACACATTCTGGGTGATGAGCCCAGCTGTCATTGGAACTTCATAATCGCTCCTGTGATGCTGGCGAAGACGAAACTGAAAGCTCCGGGAGTGACAGGCGTTCGCTGGCCACTGGACAAGCCACGTGAATCATTGATCTTTTGCGCATGCGGGACGGTTTAGGAGCTGATCTGTTCAGACTGATGTTGCCTACAGATCACATTTAAAAGATAATGTGAACAGCCAAACAAAAAAATCTGATTTGGTGAGAAAGTCAGATTTGGGCCACTTTTACCTGCTGTGTAAATGCAGCCTTAAACACACGCAGCTAGTGTATATAACTCATCCTGGACTCCCGGCGCCGACTGCACCAACAAGGCTAAAGCTTGGTTGAATGCTAAATCAGTGGTAACGTTATTATGCTATTATGTTTAGCCGTCAGTGTGGCTACATGCAGATACATAATGCAATTTATTTATGAAGTGTTTATTACTATGTGTTTTTTCAGTTCCAAAGCTGGTAGCATGAATTAGCAAGTTGGCTAGCCAGTAGTAGGTAGCATTGTTGCATGTAGAAGCTAGCATTTTTGCTAAGTAATGCAGGCTGCTTAGCAACTCTTACTGTCCTATGAGTTTTGACATTGATGCGCAACACTAAGGCTGGTCTTTAAAATGCATCTTAGCTACACTCTTAAAAAAGATGGTTCTTCAAGGGTTCTTTAGTAAAGAAAATGGTTCTATACAGAACCATGAACACTCAAAGAACCTTCTGCTAGATTAAAGTGTTGCTTGCATCATGAAAGCGCTCTTCAGACTGATGGAGAACGTGGTGTCGACGGTTGTATATGGAATCTTTTTGAAATTGGTTCTATTTAGCACCCAAAAGGGTTTTCTATTGTTATGATGTCAAGCTTGTAGCAATAGAAGAACCCTTTTAGGTGTTATATACAACTCTTTTCAAATAGGTTCTATATAGAACCGTCTACAGCAGATTCATGCACATTTTCTACTAAAGGTTTCTGAGGAACCTTTTCATGATGTAAAAAAGCCTTTAATGATGCAGAGGGTTCTTTGAGTGTTCAAGGTTCTGTACAGAACCATTTTCTTTACTAAAGAACCCTTGAAGAACCATCTTTTTAAAGGGTCTACATTCTATTTAGTGTTAGGCAGTTAAGAATGGAGTTAATTTTGTCAAAAAACACAAATAATAAGAATCAAATCTTATTTTTCGTGAACATATTCAGTCCCTTTACTACTCAGTCCTTGTTTTCATTTTTTTCTACAATGTGAATGAAATATGGAAAACATTGCTTAAAAAACAAACATGCCAGTGCAATACTGCACTGGTATGATGCTTTCCGTAATGTTGGGGCACTTTCCACAACTCACTGAGTGGATGTAGCTAAGGGTTCGAGGACCTGCAAATCCAGAACAGTGGATCAATAGATTCTTAAACTTAACGTCTTCTTGCAAGACCCTCCCACTAATAAAAATGTCAAATATCTATATATAACATAACATAACATAACATATAAACATATTTGCAAAGTCCGTAATTAGGGGCGAAGGGTCCGAAGCACAAACCACTTTACAAAATGTTCTTCCGCAAGTTGCATGCCATTACACATTTCCGTCAGAGAGGTCTCCAAATCCCCAAAACTTACATAGTGTAGCTTTAACTAGCATTCTGAGCGTCTTTGCTTTTTTTTTCAGTTTTTTTCCTCCTGACTCAGTAATGCTACTTCTTTCAAATTTAACAAAAAACTCTTACATAATGCAGCTTCAAAATGAGCAGGGACCAAATATTTTCAGAAAAAATTATATCTGATTTAATTATTATATGTATTAATATTTTGCTTGTGGATTTCATAAATTAAAAAAAAAAATGTTTAGCACAAAATTAACTCCACAGTTTAGACCTATTGATGCAACCGAGCCCAGAACCCTGAACAGGTCTACAAACTGTGAAACCCCACTTTAGTGGAGAGCTTCATGCTTTGGAGGATGCCTGTTTATGAAGCTGGACTACTTCTGTTCTAACCTGCATTGACGTCCAGCTAAAGCTCTCCAACTGTGAAAGTGGATGATACAGCATTTTCGGTCTGTTATAAAGAGCCTAAAGCTAAGTGTCTCATGGTACATGTGGAAAAAAGCCTTTTGACTTCATCAGCCGTTGTGCTCTGTGCAGTTGCAGGTTCTCGTTGTGCGGTTCTGGATCAGTACAGCAGCCGCAGTTTTAGCGCAGCCTGTTGAGATGTAGCCATGGTAACAGCAGCTCCCGTCGGGCCAGTATGCAGCTGCCGTGTTTACTCTGTGTTCCCTTTCAGGGGCCAGAGGTCTTGGGCAAGTCCTGATTCTCTGCCAGGTGCAACTTTTGTCTGGAAAAACTGTATTAAGGATCCCTTTAATGACACAGACACACTGCACATTCATGCAACATTAGATAATAACATTTATTTTTGTCTCCATGGTGTTTGGCAGTACCTGCATTTGGAATCGATGTGCAGCAGAAGCTCCTGAAAGTGGAATTCCACCAATTTTTCAAAATTTTCACATAAACCAAGTCATTCAATGTTTGATGTGAAACGGTTAATTGTAGAGAAAATTACAGACTCAGATGTCTTTGCAGTGGTGGTGATAGGAACCAGGGGTCGCCATGACTACAACACAACTATAGACATTTTATTTACTATCCAAAACCACCAGTGAACCCACACGAGTCTTCTGACTTTTTAGATGTAATGTTGTTGATGGTAAAATAGTGGAAAATCTTTTTGGGAACTATTCTGCCTCGTAACGCCCTGTATGTACCTCTCCACCATGGATGGATTCTAAACAATATATGTTTTAGGCCAAAACCTTCTCAAAACAAAATCTTAAAACAATGAATTAGACATCAGGGAGTGCATTCATAACTATTTCATGTAATAACATTCTGTGAGGGAGCTTTCAGAGGCATTAATCTCTTGCACTGTGAGCAACTCTGACACAATAAGTTCCTCTAGAACAGAGCATTTCATATCAAACCACTCTGAATGACTTTGTTTACATCTTAACCATTTAACTATGCAGAAATTGAAATACTGGTGGAATTCTCCTTCAAAGCTTTTAGGGTGTCAAATGTGGGACTGGACATTAAAATGTTTTTAGATTTCTTCTTTGAAATTACAAACCAAAAGTGGGTGTGGCTAAAATCAGAAATAAGTGAAAATGCTCGAAGTGGGTATATTTACTGACCACAGAGTATTACAGACTAATCAAGAAGTGCTGGTGTTAATAACAAGTACACTTTGACAGCCCATCAGCTGTTTAGATTTTGGAACAAGCTCATTGCTCATTGGATCTCTGTTGCTGGTAAGATGGACTGCTTAGGGACTGAAATTTTGCATTAAATGACATGGACATTTTTCGATTCTCTTCAGTACAGAAGTATCTCGGCTGGTACAATAAAAGTATTGAATTATAATATCTGGCTTTAATCAAATGCATCAGACAAAATGTATTTTCCAAGGATTTTTCCTTCTTTACTTTTGCATTAGAGCTATGAAGCCAATGCAGGTAATTAGTGGAGACTTAGTTTTCTTTAAATAAACTAATAGTTTTCTTTATTAGCATTGTGCTAACTTCTCAAAATGTAAAATGTATTTATTGTTCTCAGATTATCCCGTTTAACATATTTGTACACTGCAGAAAGTGTTCTTACATATGTCCCTCCTGTCCCTGTATATTGTGTGTATATTTATTATACACCGATCAGGCGTAACATTATGACCACCTCCTTGTTTCTACACTCATTGTCCATTTTATCAGCTCCACTTACTATATAGGTGCACTTTGTAGTTCTACAGTTACAGACTGTGGTCCATCTGTTTCTCTGATACTTTGTTAGCCCCCTTTTACCCTGTTCTTCAGTGGTCAGGACCCCCATGGACCCTCACAGAGCAGGTACTCTTTGGGTGGTGGATCATTCTCAGCACTGCAGTAACACTGACGTGGTGATGGTGTGTTAGTGTGTGTTGTGCTGGTGCGAGTGGATCAGACACAGCAGTGCTGCTGGAGATTTTAAACACTGTGTCCACTCACTGTCCACTCTATTAGACTCACCTGCGTTGTTGGTCCACCCTGTAGATGTAAAGCCAGAGATGACAGCTCATCTCTTGCTGTATAGTATGAGCTAATCATCCTCTAGTCCTTCATCAGTGGTCACAGGACGCTGTTGGCTGGATATTTTTGGTTGGTGGACTATTCTCAGTCCAGCAGTGACACTGAGGTGTTTAAAAACTCCAGCTGCTGTGTCTGATCCACTCAGACCAGCACAACACACACTAACACACCATCACCACATCAGTGTTACTGCAGTGCTGAGAATGATCCACCACCCAAATAGTACCTGCTCTGTGAGGGTCCATGGGGGTCCTGACCACTGAAGAACAGGGTAAAAGGGGGCTAACAAAGTATGCAGAGAAACAGATGGACTACAGTCTGTAACTGTAGAACTACAAAGTGCACCTATAGAGTAAGTGGAGCTGATAAAATGGACAATGAGTGTAGAAACAAGGAGGTGGTCAGAATGTTATGCCTCATCAGAGTATATTTATTATATTTCAGTTTTAGTATTTTCTTTTGTATTTTTACTTTGTTTTGTCTGCACTCATAGTGTGTATACAACGTTGCCCTGCTGTAGAGTGGTTAGTTGAGGTTCACCACAAGCATTTCAACGCATGAATGTCCTGACATTTTGTGCAAATGACAAGTAAACTTGAAACTTGCATGCCTAAATCATCTCTGACTTGCCTTGAACTGTGTTGAACAGTTAAATAATTTCAAACAGACTTGCTTACGACAAACTGGTATCAATAAAAAAGACAAAAGCATGTTACCAGGCTAAAAACAATAGTACCTCACTTGAAGCCTGAAATTTGTGTGCATACTTTTGTCCATTTTCTCCCAGTGGATTTGTGTTTAAGCCATCACCAAGACAGCAACTGTGGAGGGCAGCGCTGACAGAAAACCAATGTGGTTAAACCCAGTGATTAACTCCTCAGAAAGGATACATGGAGCTGCTAAGTTCTTCGAGCTGTGGAGAGAGAGGAGAGAGGAGAGAGGACATTAGACCATCAATAAAACCACTGAAGGTTAAAGTGCTAAAATGGGCAATTACAGGATAATGTTAAAGTGATAATGGAAAATTAATGACTGAAACTGTAGCAACCCAACTGCTAAATTACTGAATAAAAATGTCAGAGCTTGAATGCGGGAATGAGAAGATGATGTGTTTCAATTTTATCCCTAATTCTCACACCTCATTATAATAATAATAATACAATTACTAATATTAATAATAATAATAATAATAATAATAATAATGCTTTTTTATCCTTCTCTGATTCTGGCACCAAAAATTCCGACTTAGTGTTTGGAAATAATTACTTATTCTTTTCAAAATCTTGACTTAGTATCTTGAGATGTTCACTTACTTTCTCAAAATACTGACTTAGTATCTCATAATGACATGACAAAATAATTACTCACTTTCTTGAAATTCATAACTAATTTAATTAAATAAGTCATAATTTCAAGAAGTCATTATTTTGACATACTGCTGCCAGAAACAAATGGAGAAAAAAGTGATGTTTTCCTCCTCTACTTGAGAAAGTATGGAAGCCCAATCATACACCAAGTCAGATCTAAAGGCAGAAAGTCTAAGACCTTCATCTGTTCTGCTGTTGCCGTAGTGACCAGGCATCTCTGCTATTTTTGTCTTTAATAAGCTCGGAGGCTTTTCACACCATTCTGATAGTTGCAAGAGTCCAAAACACACACGCAAGTTTGTATTGCTGCCTTTGTGTGGTGTTTCCACTGTCTTCCGTATGAGTGAGTGCTCCACCTAATCCAGTCCAACCTTAACCTCAGCAACCAAAACATCAGCTCTGGCTTCTCTAACTTTCTCTAATAAAAGCTGCAGTTTGTTGTATATAAAACCAAATGTCCCCACAATGTCAAAAATATTATGTTTTACATCATCCTGAGGACATCTGGTTCCCCACAAAAAGCTAAATACATGTCCAAACGCACACACACACACACACACACACACACACACACACACATACACACAAAGCACGCTGCCCTTACCACAGACACACATCCAGAGCCTTGTGTGCTAAGAACCAAAATCATTAGCACAACAATCTGAAGCCAGACTGCAGACACAAAGCTTTCAGCAGAAAATGGCAAAGTTCATTCTTCTATTAAAAAAACAGCAAATCTTGCGTCACAGACGGTCTGAGTCACAGAAGCAGATGTGGAAGCCGTTACTGAACTCTGTGTAAATCAAAGTGAATGAAAATGCAAAATGCAACAACATTCTATGTTAGGAAGAGGCTAGTTTACGTCAGTGCGGTTTCACAGTGTGTATGTACAACTTTTCATTTATTTAAATTTCAGTCAATTCAGCCATTATGCACAAGTTATTCATTTTTCAGGAGATATTTGTGAGGAGATTAGATGCTAAGTTTAAAAAAACAGGAGTTTCTGAAACTGGAGTTCAAAATCTGATTAAAAGCTACAGAGAAAATGAGACTAACATCCACCCAGAAGACCTGTTAGACACCAAAACTGCCCCATCAGATAAACAGCACTTAAAGCTTTCATCTTTGAGACAGAGGAGAAAATCAAGCTGCTTCAGATCTGAAAACATCCACAGGTGTTTCTGTCCATCCTTCCACTGTGAGAAGACGAATCAGCGCTGTGGGTCTGAAAGGATGTGAAGCTGATCAAGAAGAACCTCACTGAGAAAAGGAGACGGACACATCAAACAAAGAAGCTGAACGATGGACTGACCACCCCAGAGTCCAGACCTCAACACCACTGAATGTGTTTGATTCCTGCAGAAAATGATCAACCAGCTTCTAAGACTGAACTTTGGAGGTGTGTCTGCAGATTCTTTGAGGAACTGAAAGTGAGTCTCCTGAAAAGAGTGGAAGCTGGAATAAAGGTAAAGGATAGACACACTGAACACTGAACAAATATGATATCATATTTACGTGTTGAGGCATGTGTGTATCTGTGTGTGTGTTACATTGCTGAGCAGGTGTTCGAGGTTGCGGTCTGAAGCACTTTTCCTCTGGTCCTCAGAAAGCTCCTCTACGTGGCTGTCCAAACTGAAGTGCAGCCGAGCCAGTTTCTCCTGCATCTCTCTCACGTGCTCCAACTGCTCAAACGAACACACCTTACCTGAAGAGAGTAGTGTGAAGAAAAATAACATTCAGAAAATTTCACAAGTTTAGCTAATGTTTTGATTCTTTAGTAACAGAAGCTTATGAGCAATGCGGTCTGCATGTTGCTAATTGGACACACATGCATGCAGGTAGTTGGCGAGTTGGCTAGTGTAAGCCGCTTTGCACAATCACAATGACTTATTAACTCAAATAACATTGGCCTAAATCGATATCTCAGTCCAAAAAACAAAGATATATTTTAAAGGGTCAGTATCAGCTACTCTGTTTAAAAAGATAGTTCATCAAGGGTTCCTTAGTAAAGACAATGGTTCTACATAGAACCATGAATATTCAAAGAACTCTTTGCATGATTAAATGGTTCTTTGCATGGTGAAAGGGTTCTTCAGCTTGATGGAGAATGTGCTGTAGATTCTCCATCAAGCTGAACGGCTCTATGTAGCACCAAAAAGAGATCTGCTATTGTTACGATGTCAAGCTTGTACTAATAGAAGAACCCTTTTTGGTGTTATATAGAACCCTTTTTTAAAAGATCACATTCTCCATCAACCTAAAGAACGATTTTACCATGCAAAGAACCATTTGAGCATGCAAAAGGGTTCTTTGAGTGTTCATGGTTCTGTATAGAACCATTGTCTTTACTAAAGAACCCTTCAAGAACCTTTTTAAGAGTGTACACTATGGGCCGATTTTCTAGACATGGATTAAGCCTAGTCTTGGGCAGAACTGCAGGGCCAATTACTGTTGGGCCGATAGACGATGCCACTGTCCATCGTTGATGACAGGGATCATGATGTTAAGCCAGCATATGATCCATTCTTATGATTTGATTTACAGCTTGAATGTATGGACAAAATACTACACATTTCATTTCATTAAATATATAATTTATGTCATTATTAAATGAAAAACTAGTCCGCAGCACAGATGCGGTGTATGAATGGCCATCATGTGCAATCTGTAAGGGGTCACGCTGCTGCATCATTCATATCACACAGAGATAGTCAGTGTGGACAAAAACTGAGTGCAGGATGGAGTGATACTGGAGCGATTTTGGAGTGAGAGAGAAAACTGAAGATCCAGCTTTCCGGAAAGCCGCTCCTCGCTCCAAGCAAAAATCACGTCGCTCCACTCCCACTCCACACCGCTCACCTGCTGCCTGCTACAATTCCAGTGCTATAATGTAAAAAAACTATATTTATTACTTATTACTTACTCTGAGATCAGAACTGATTAATAGGTATTTTAAGGAGTGCTGAGTATTTATAGTAACTATGTAAGACTAATGCTACCGCCTAACCCTGCATTTAACACAACTGTAAACAGAATGCGCTTTCATCATCTGTAAACAATTACATGAGGGGAAATGTGTCTGCTGAGTGACTGAGTGTGACTAGCAGGTGAGATTTTAAACAAGAAAACAAAAGACGGAGGATACGCGGCTGAAAATATCCCCAAACAAAGAGCCGTCATGCGACGAAAGCGTCCAAGTCAAGCTTATCCACTCATACTATATCAGGGAAAAGAGTAAACAAAAGTAAAACGGAAACGCCGTGTGTGCTGCGTCCTTTTTATTCGGGAAAAGTAAAATCGGATCTCATCTGGTCACACTGGAAATGATTTTAGTGAAGTGTAAACAGAATCTGGACTAAATTTATCCTTTATCCAGACACAAAACACGTTAATTTTAGTTGTCCAAAAATTTGTAGACACCTGCTCCTCTGGCATTTTATGGGTATAAAGTGTATTAACAGGGGATTTTAAAAACAACACAAAAAAACAACACATTATTTCTGAATACATAAAATCTGTTTATTACATCAACATAGTTTGTTTTTTTAAATGTAATTTTTTTTTCCAATAGTGGTATATTTAATATACCAGTTCAACATAACAGCAAGAGTGAGAGTGTGTTTATCTCACCAAAGGCCTGCAGCTTTCCAGAGTGGAAGTCGTTGAGCAGGTTGAGGAGTCCGCCCTCCATCTCTCTCACGTCAGACACATCAGTGAGGAAGGAGTGCTGGAGGGGGGAGGACGACTGTGACATGCGGCTGGGGCCGGCCGGCTGGGGTGCTCGGGGCTTCTCTTTGTGGGGCCTGCTGTCACGAAAACAAGCACAACCAAAATGGTGAAATCAGTAGATGCTTGATGCTTTTGAACCACTAGGGATGTACTGATCTGACCTAGGCATAATATAATGGATCTTTACCTGCTATATTAAAGGAACAATTTGGAAGGAAATGAAATTTACCCAATTTTCCACTTACGCAAGAAACAGTTAATCAGCCAAAGACATGCTTGGAGTCCAAATTTTGCTTCTTTAGTTTAGAACTAGAGCTACAGACTAACGTTGCTAGCAAACTCAACAGTCATCCAAATAGTCAAAATCGTTTCTGTAAGGGTACATCCACAAAACTTCTCTCAAACCCACATCCATGTGTTCAATAAGTTCATGCAGACTTAATGTGATTTAGGACACAGTGTGACTCTGAACAATATAAAACACAAAACCTGTGTGCTGCATTTTTCTCTTGTGGATCTTCAAAATCACAAATAAACTGTATGAATGTGAGCTTTGGAATGGTCTGTGTGGTAAAACTGTTTGATTTCTCCCGATTGTGACTCATTCTATTTTCATTAAAGTTATAACTGGTAATATGCGCTAGTTTTACTGAATAATAAGAAGCCCGACTCCACACGATGGCCTAAAAAGCCGATGCTGAGCTGACTTTTCGGCTGAGTTACCGTTTTATCCACGTTATTTATATTACAGCATATTAACCTTTAAATAGAAAAAGTGAGCAAACCCACCTCGAGACCAGCAGAGAGAGCTGGTGTGGCTTCAGCGTTGCACTGAGTGCAGCAGCATTTGGTAAAATTTCTTTCAATTTGCTGTTTTAATGTATAGAAAGGCTGAATCAAAATATACAAAGGGCTTTTCAAAATACCCAAGCGGTTACATCAGTGGTTACGTCCTCCTGAAATGGCCGTGTTGCATTTCGGATGCAGCATATGATGAAGATGGCTCTGGCTGCGTACTGGACTTTTTGGCCAAAGTAACACACCACCTGGGTAAATTCACGTTGATCACAAACTGCATACTAGTTTTGGGCATAATTAGTACTCGAGCAGTATGTAATAGGCTATTTGGAACACAGCCACTCCTTATAACTTCAGTGTGAATGGGCAGAGCTAAACCGTGAAAGGCTGAATAAGCACAAACACCGATCAGACATAACATGATGACCACCTCCTTGTTTCTACGCTCATTGTCCATTTTATCAGCTCCACTTACTATATAGGTGCACTTTGTAGTTCTACAGTTACAGACTGTAGTCCATCTGTTTCTCTGCATACTTTGTAAGCCCCCTTTTACCCTGTTCTTCAGTGGTCAGGACCCCCATGGACCCTCACAGAGCAGGTACTATTTGGGCGGTGGATCATTCTCAGCACTGCAGTAACACTGATGTGGTGGTGGTGTGTTAGTGTGTGTTGTGCTGGTACGAGTGGATCAGAGTAAAAGGGGGCTAACAAAGTATGCAGAGAAACAGATGGACTACAGTCTGTAACTGTAGAACTACAAAGTTCTCCTATATAGTAAGTGGAGTTGATAAGATAGAAACAAGGAGATGGTCATAATGTTATGCCTGATCGGTGTACATTTAAATGTGTTGACATCACAAAAGCAAATCATTCAAAACATGCTGTTTTTGCAGATTTGTTTCCACGTATGGACTGTATGGATTAGGGATTGAATGAGACATTTTGAAACTTTAATGATATTTCAGTTCATTACAAACATGGGTCCTTTAGAGGAATTGACAGCATAATATATTTTATTTGGATTCACTAATTTTAATGTAGTTAAAGTGTGCACTGCATGATGGTATTATCAATAAAAATACAAAAATTAGATCAAGAATCTGTATGAGCAGATACTCTGTATTAAAAAAGCAGACCATCCCTATAAAACCAAAGTGTGTTTGTGACTCCACACACACTCTGGTGGCTCTTTAATCAGTTTAAAAGCTTCTAGCTGTTCGAGCTACTCAATAAATAAAGCTCCAGCAGAATGGGTTTAGCCTTGAGCATTATTTGGAACATGTGCATTTAATTTTGCAGCTTTCTATACTAATAATAATCCATAATCCTTCTCATCCAGGGAAAAAGCCTGTTTAGACTACTTTTACAAACCTGGTGGCTTTTGGAGGGACCACAGGTACGGTCAGGACCTCTTTGGCTGCTCCCATGGCCCCCACAGACCTCTTGTATTTGCCCCTGGGTTTAGGCGAGGGTGGCTGGGGAAGGCCCAGAGAGAAGGTGGCGCTCTTGCTGGCCGGGAGGACGGAGAGTTTGCGTGGGTTGACCGGTGGTGGCGGGGGCTGGGGGAGCGACACTTTGGGACTCCGCTTTTTCCTCTTGTCCTCCATGGGGTCTGTTTTTCTCTGTGGCTGTCAGTGACTTGATTGGAGGTAGTGTGTCCACTAAACGTCCAGTGCTGCTACTCCCAGAGAAAAAACAAGAACATTAAAGCAAAATCACATTTCATTTCCTTATACATTTCTAGCAGCAGTGGCAAAGGAAAAAGTGTGATTTTATGTCAAAATAATGATCTATTTTCTTAAAAACTTGGCTTAGCTTGAAACTGACATAATAATGACATTTTCTCAAATTCTTGACTTTTCTCAAAATAAATGTACTCATTATTTTAACACAGTAAGTCAAACCTTAAAATTAGCCACTACTGTGACATAAATGAAAAGTCTCAAGACAAATTAAAATAAGCAATTATTTCAACATACTAAGTAATAATCTAAAAACATTGACATTACTTCAACATAAACATTCAACGTTCAACATAGTGAGTAAAAATGTTGACATACTGCCAGAAACAGAGCGAAAATGAAAAGAAAAAGGCAGTTTTTTCTCTTCTAGCTGGTGGAGATGGGCTTCCATTTCTTACGCATTCTGATAAAAAAAAATACTCAGGCTAAAAAAAAAACAATAAAAAATAATAAAATAAAAAATCAAACTTCCACTATTTCCCCCACACTCCAAATAAATAGTCAAACTACCAAGACAGGTTTGGTGTCTCATGCTCACTTTTTTTAAGTCATGCACTGGAGCTATGAGGCTAATTTAGCTAACAACAAATGTAAACCAACAATGAGCTAACTAACTCAAAGTTGTTGGAAAAGAAGCAGCCGTTATTTAATTTCTGTCCATTTCTCGCAGATATTTCATTTCTGTCCACTTAGGTCAGCTGTACCTTAGAAAGGATAGTCTTACCTCTAATAGCACAGCACTCGCACAGTGCTGTTACGAGAGCTCCTGTCTTCTATTGATCGACCAGTGCACAAATGGAAATCCATGTCCATTTACGTACATGGAAAGCATAAAATCCAATTCCCAAACTTTGACTGAGTAGATGTCATCATGCAGCAGAGATCAGGATCAGCCTCAGCTCAAAAACACCCAACTCACAATCCAATCTTGCACCAATCAGTCAGTATTAAAGCAATAACTACATTTACGGTTTTGTCATTTGCTTAAAGGTACTCAACCACCAAGACACATTTGGTGTCTGAAGTTTGCTTCCTCAATTTCAGCACTGGAGCTATGAGCCTAATGTAGCTAACAAGTAATAGAAGTTTGCATGCTACAAATTAGCACTGTGCTAACTGCACTGGTAAATCATTGTATGCTTACCTCAAACCGTGTTGAGATGTTCTGTAATCTGAAATTGTTTATTTGGTTTCTGACAAAAATGTTATCCAAAAAACACGAACAAAAGCATTTCACAGAGCTAAAAACAGAAGTGAGTAGCAGCCAATGAAGTCTGAATTCTGACTATATTTTCATCTCCAGTGCAAAACTAAAGCCAACTTAGATGCCAAAGATGTCTTGACTGACTGGCAACATCTGAGGAGGAGAAAAAATGTAAAATGCCAAATTCTGGTAAGACGACTCACCAGTTATTGACCCAAACTGAAATCCTGTCATTTGCTTAAAGGTCCTACTTTTATAAATTTCTGCATAATTAATTTGTTACAATATTTAAAATCAGTCATTCAGGTTTGGTGTGAAACGCTCTGTTCTAGAGAAACTTACAGAGTCAGAATTGTTCACAGTGGTGGTGACAGGAACCAGACGTCCACCTCTAAAAGCTCCCTCACAGAAAGTTACTACATGAAATGGTTATGAATACGCTGCCTGATATCTGAGATATGGTTTTATGATTGGTTTAAGATAAGACTTTGGCCTAAAATGCATTGAAAAAAACTAATTTGTGGCAGAGGGGTACACGCAGGCTGCTGCGAGGCAAAATAGTCCCCAAAGAAAACATTCAGATTTACCACTATTTTAACTTTATCAAGATTACAATTACATGTAAGAGCCCAGAAGACTCGTGTAGGTTCACTGCTGGTTTTTGATAGTAAATAAAATGTCTATATTTGCGTTGTAGACATGGCGACCCCTGGTTCCTATCACCACCACTGTAAAGAAAGAAGAGTTATGCAGAAATTCTGAAACATTGGTAGAATTCCCCTTTAAGCGCACATTTGCACTTGTTCTATGAGGACTTGAGCGTAAATAGCTGTCACTCTCCCAGTGTGAAATATTTTTAGATTCCTCAGATCTCTCCGGGAATACAGAGTATCTGATACTGATACCCTATAAATAGCTATATTCTCTCAATATAGACACTTCAGATGCATAGCCTCCTACAAATGCTGCATTGTCCTCAACCTGTTACAGTCTAAACCAGCAACTCCCACCTCCAGCCCTATTTTTAGAAGATGTACTTATTACCTACAGCCTAGAGTCCCAACTAAACACAGTGAAGTGGCATTTGGCTGTTATGCACAGACACTCAGATATTAGACGTGCCCCAAATGTAGTTCATTTTAAATCCAGGTTAAAAACATCTCTCTCTTTGCATTCCTACAACTGAGCTCCAAGACTCTGCACTGCACTTTTTTGCATGTTAATTTTCTTTGTCAATAAGCTTTTATTCTGATTCTAATCACACTTAAGGACTTCTTTTTTATGTTTTTTTTTCACTGAAGAACAGGGCAAAAGGGGGTTAATAAAGTATGCAAAGAAACAGACAGACTACAGTCTGTAGTCTATCTATCAAGTGTTCACTGATTGTTCTAGATAGTAAATAAAATGGCCACATTGCAACGTAGACATTGCGACCCCTGATTCCTATCACCACCACTGTAAGGAAAACTGAGACTCTATAATGAACCATTTCACATCAAACCACTCTGTTTACATCTTAACCACTGGATTATGCTGAAATTTAGAAAAACTGGTGGAACGCCCCTTTAAACCGGTGTTTCCGAGTTCCACCTGCGCTGCACAGGTTTGTGTTTCCCTTCACCTGGGTAACACACTGAGCTAATGACGTCCTTCTGGAGCTCAATCTGGTGTGTTGAAGCAGGTAAATAAGAGACTGTGCAGTGCAGTTGGACTGCGGAGCTGTGAACAGACATGGGTTTATTCCAAATGACTCATTAGTGGATGTGTAACACATTATTTGATGTTTATTAGGGAATTTATGGCTGCAGGCTGCCATAAGAGACTAATGGGCTTCTAATGCTGGTGCTCTATTTCTGACCTATTATTTATTGTGGTAGTATGCGGTGTTTCACAACCTTCATAATGCACTGAATAAATAGGGACTAGGGACCTATTTAAGATGCAAAGTGATGAAAATAAAACAGTTTTCCACGTTAATGTGACCTACATTAACGTGGAAAACTGTTTTATTTTCATCACTTTGCATCTTAAATAGGTCCCTAGTCCTGGCCAAATGAAATCACTGCGAAGCAATGTAGTCACTTTTATGTGAGCTTATTAACTAGTGAACACCAACGCTGCCTAAACTTAGTCATATAACGTTAGATTGATATAAATCACACCACCTAGTCACGTAAATGGACATAGCAAATGGATTTAAACGAGGCTTAAGTTGGCGTCCTAGTCGAATTTTCCCGTTCCACCTTAAATGGAACAGCAGTTACATTCTGGCGCCTGTAACTGCTGCACCATTTAAGGTGGAACGGGAAAATTCGAACAAGAAGCTGGCGAATAAGTAGATTACTGGACGTTTCTAAAAGCACAACTAATGTATAAACAGATATATAATCTTACTGTGATAAAATTACGTTTAAGGCCGATGTATTTTAAACAAATGTACATCTAAGTTCACTGACGGTTGGCATAGATTTGCCCCATAAAGCCTAACGGTTCACTCACCAGCCGCTGTAGCCCTGCTCAGTTAGCCGACCGTTTTAGCTCACAACTGGCCTCAGCATCCCAGACGTCAGCTTTTTGTCCACTGCAAAGCTTCTGGTTCCCGCTGGACCTGCCGTAAAAATCCTATGTGGACTTAAACTCTCGCTCCCTGCTTGCGGGCTCTCCATGACCGCGATAAATGACCAGCTATGTGGCCATGTCCAGATTAGCATTTAAAGAGACAGCGCACTTTTTCCCCCCAGCAGCCTTTTTTGTTGTTGTTGTGCCGAAGCCACGCCCCCAGCAACGATGACGTTGACGCCAAAGCTCCGAAAAACAGATTTGATTGGATTGGAAAACGATATAAACGTTAAAGGGGCATTTCAGCAAAAATGAAAAATTTAACCATGGCAATCTGTTGTAAACATGCTTACTCAAATCCTACAGCGGTTGTTTTCAGAGCGAATTTCCAACCTGTTATTCTCCAGGGTATATTTTGGTTCGTCCATCTGAATTTATATGACCAAATCGTAAGGCAAATTGTTCAGTAACTGCATGAAATAAATGTAAATTTTTATCTATTTATTTATTTTTAAAAGTTCCCCTCAAATTAACAGAACATGTGTTTTATGATCACACATATTGCTATATGATTACAATTTACTGCTGAAAGCCAAGAATCTTAGACGCTCTTTGTATTATTTTATAAAAATAATTTTTACAGAGCAGATCACTGAAGAGACGCCATCTGTTTATAGTTTATAGCCCAGATTTGTGGAAAAACCTACAGACCTCCAACCTTCATGTGGCCTTCAGATTAGCTCAAGAACGGTGCGTAGAGAGCTTCATGGAATGGGTTTCCATGGCCGAGCAGCTGCATCCAAGCCTTACATCACCAAGCACAATGCAAAGCGTTGAATGCAATGGTGTAAAGCACCGCCACTGGACTCTAGAGCAATGGAGATGTGTTCTCTGGAGTGACCAATCACGCTTCGCCGTCTGGCAATCCGATGGACGAGTCTGGGTTTGGTGGTGGCCAGGAGAACGGTACTTGTCTGACTGCATTGTGCCAAGTGTACAGTTTGGTGGAGGGGGAATTATGATGTGGGGTTGTTTTTCAGGAGTTGGGCCCCTTCCTGTTCCAACATGACTGCGCACCAGTGCACAAAGCAAGGTCCATAAAGACATGGATGAGCAAGTTTGGTGTGGAAGAACTTGACTGGCCCTCACAGAGTCCTGACCTCAACCCGATATAAATCCTTGGGGATGAATTAGAGCGGAGACTGCGAGCCAGGCCTTCTCGTCCAACATCAGTGTCTGACCACGCAAATGCTCTTCTGGAAGAATGGTCAAAAATTCCCATAAACACACTCCTAAACCTTGTGGAAAGCCTTCCCAGAAGAGTTGAAGCTGTTATAGCTGCAAAGGGTGGGACATCATATTAAACCCTATGGATTAAGAATGGGATGTCACTCAAGTTCATATGGTGTGAAGGCAGACGAGCCAATACTTTTGGCAATATAGTATATGAAAGCATAGGAGTCTAGAGCGAGTTCAATGTAGGATCAGGTAATCTGAAGGACAGATTAAGTGAGGATTCTTGCAAGTCTCCATAAAGCTGCTGTTATGTGCCATGAGCAGCTTGCAGAACGTAAGGATTTAGGGCCACTGCAGCAAAAAGGCTGACAGTCACTTTATTCATTCGGAATTCAGCACATCTAAGAAATCAGGACGCGGGTTTTATTGAATATGGATCTTACTAAACAGATAATTAGAAGCCAGCTGTCAGTTTTAGGGAATGCTCTACCGTTTGGACGCCTCTCCCACTTGCTGTTAATTGTTTTCTGCAGAAAAATCATCAACATTGTAAAATCTCTCAGCTGCAAAAGCGCTGTTTGATTCTGTCTCTCTCCATATTTGGTGGTAGCTAACGTACATTATACGCTATAGAAACACAGCAGCCCAGCCCACCCAGTTTCCCTCTCAGTTCCACCTCAGTGCCCCTTCCAGTGTGCCCCTCCCATTTTTGTGGATTTTTCAAAGTTGAGCCAGGGGCGGAGTCAGCTGAAAATAGTGGGATGTAGTTACTCTTTAACTGCAAGATTAATCGCCAAAAAAATTAATTACTAGAAACTAAGAAAAAGAAATTTTGTTTGGAAAATAACATGATATATGAATACATCACTGCTGTCAGAACAAAACCTTGGATCTCCATTTTTGCCTTTTTCAGTTTTTGTCATAGTTTAAAAATGCCGGTTGCCCTTTACATTGTGTCTAATTTCATGATGAATGGACCAAAAGAAACGGCCAAAAAAAAGTCTGGTTCCATTGACTTACATTAAAAGTAAAGTATGTTTTTTCCTTCCCCTGTAAAGTTACCATTTTGGAGATACGAGGTTTTGTTCCAACAGCAGCGATATGTAAAACATGATATTATTGGTTAATATTTTTTCCCATTGGCTGGTGCACAGTGACAATCTTCCGAAGTTCTGATTTTGGGTCGACGCTGATGAATGTGTTCTAGTGCACCGATGCAAGAACGTTTACAGCTTCAGCAATGACTGTGTGATCTTTTGCAGGCGGTAGATCTCAATGACTTCGTTTCACATCTTTAGTTAAATCTCTTTAGAACGCAGCATCATGTGGACCTTCTAGCTGCTTCATTTTGCCAGACAGGTTCCATTTAAGTGATGTTTAGATTCAACCGGTCTGGCAGCGATCATGTCTGGGTGTGGCAGTGAAATTGAACCAAATAGTTAACTGAATTTGGTTTATTGGTTGACTTAGTAGCTAAGGGGGCAAATACTTTTTCACATGGGTACTGATAGGGCTGATTTCATTTTTCCTTCAATAAATGAAATCTTCATGTTAAAAACAGCAGTTTTTATTTACTCTTTGTCCAATATTAAAAATGGCTTAATAATCTGAAACATTCAAACATGGCAAACATGAAAAATAGAAGAAAATGGGAAGGCGTGAATACTTTTTCACAGTACTATATACAAAATATTTTTTTTTTATGAAAACACAGTTGGGTTGCTCCTCGTTTGTGTAACATTTTGGCAGTTTTGTGTAACAGCAGCTGTAAACAATAGTTTAGGGAAGTGCTAATCTAAATTGAAGAAATTCCTGCATTTAATTTCAGTTTCATTGGAGCCAGTGTTGGTTGTTGCATTACGGCCGTCGTGTCTGTGTCCATTATCTGACCATGTGATGAGAGCATTACTCAAACGAGGTTCCAATCAAAGCTGGGCGTGTGTGGATTCCTGGAGAGGATGTGAAGGTTCTTCTGTGCTCCTCACCCACACAAACATGAAGCGCCATGCAAGCAGCTCCATCTAACTCTGTCTAACTCTGGATCCTGGAGACCATGGATTCCCTCTCGCTCCCCGAGGCACATTTCTTTGAAACTTTGCTCAGACAAGGTTTGGATCAATCATGAGTTAACAAGACATTTCTGATGGCAGTTTGGACATGATTTGTACAGTATAGTCAGGTCTCAGCTTGAACCTTTCCCCCAACTTTTCTTGTGATCCACCTACAACAGGGGTCGCAACCCAAATGTTAAGAAGAGCCATTTTGTCCTTTCAACAAAATCAAACCACCTTGGAAGCCACAATATTTAATGTCCATTTTACCATCTTGGCTGTAAATATGTCTCAGTATGTGCTGATGTACTAGTACAGGATAAAAAATATAATACAAATGAAAACAGACTTACTTTGCTTTAAGTTTTAGCTAGCTATAGACACTTTTCTTGCATCTCCGGCAGGAAAATGTCTCTTAACGTTTGACTTTTTACGAGGTTGAAGTCAGTTTCTCATTCGCCAGCTTCTTGTTCAAATTTTCCCGTTCCACCTTAAATGGGGCTTGAAATGCCAGAATGCACCTTTTAAGGTGGAACGGGAGAATTTAAACAAGAAGCTGGCGAATGAGAAACTGACTTCAGCTTCTCTACTTTTTAGTGTTTCAGTTTCTCGTTGCAGATTAAACGTATCAGGAAACCAGCTGGAGTGATTATAAATGCAGTCCATTCGCCTCCAAATAATAGATGCTCATCTTAAATCTCTCTCTTTGCCTCTCTTTGGCATTACAAGCCATCACTGCTTTCAGCTGAAAAATATATTACAAATATCAGAATTTTTTTTTCCACAAGCATATAATCTTGTTCAAAAGCACCAACAACAGCCATACAAACACTAAAGCTAACAGGGAGGCAGACTTTAGACATTGTAGACCTGATCAATTCTCTAGAGAATGAAAGGAGCAGGTAATGTGGCTTCCAAAATCCATTAAAAAAATCAAGAGAAAAGCTGGGACAGGACCACTAAGCATGAAGCTCTGCCCCAGTCTGCACTTTGCTTTTTCAGTTTGCATTTAGCCTTTGTAATAATTGCAATAACTGCAGAATGTAGAAGTGCGCCAACTACTGGTGAAAACAGTGCAACTGTGCCAGTTTGCAAGAAAAGGGGCACATTGGAAAACTACAGTTTTTGATCATACCCTTATCTTTCTTCATCTTCATCATTGCATCAGGGAATAAAAATCAGAGATCCAGACTAGTGAAGGGATACAAAAATATTTCTTTTTTATTTTCTGGCAGATCAGAACATAATCAGAGTGACAACAATGCAGTTATAAAAAAAATAAAAAGCTCTCATGCATGATTTTTGCTCTTCTGCGATGATAACTTAGCCCCCCTCTAACTGACCTTGTGATCTGAGGACGCTGAGTATGAGTAGGCCTTTCCCAGCACTATTCTGTCTCTGAGCAGTTTGAAAAAGGCATAGTAGTTGCTGAAGAGTATGAGTGCTAATGATATTGTCTGGTACCATTTTTCTGAACACATCAGTGAATATAGCTGATAGAATATCATCGCTCCTTCCAAGATGATGAGGATGTTCAATATTCGAAGCGGTTTGTTGAAGAAAAACTGCAGGGGAGAAAGAGGAAGGTTGATGGTCAGTAGGGAAGAAGGACTACTCTGTATACATCAACAAAGCCTATATATGAGTCAGTCTAATGCTACCATCATGCAGCCACATCCTTTTTTTTTTTAAAGAGTTTAGGGAAGTTTTACTGCAAAAATGTGGTCTAGGTGTAATAATGCTTTAATTGTCCATGCCGTAGACAAGAAAGAGTCTATAGAAACTTAATTAAACTAACTGTTAACAGCTCATAATGTGTCTTGGTGATGTTAAAAAATGTCAAGCCAACCATGGATGATAAATATAGTACAAAATATCTTTTGCGGTCTCAATGTTCAGTG